AGTTCCAGAGAAGTGGATGATTTCTAAAACATTATTTTATAGCTTTCTGTAGATAGAGATAAGTGGTTTAGATCTGTGGCTGCAATGCGGCAGAAAAGGTTTGAATCCTGGGGTCAATTTCATGAAGCAGGTGTAACAAAATACAGATTCAAATCCGCAAATCAAAATTGATCTAGCCAAAAGTCAGGAACTGTGTTCTGTTTGACAACGGCTGCTATCAATTAGCTCAATCAATTTTAACTAGGTCCACTCAGAGTCACACGCATGCGCAACAAGTATGAAAAGCCATTATCAATGGAGCACTGATTCAACGATTCACAATGACAACAGGCAACAGGAGGTGCCTATTTCACCCCACTGGAACAGGAGATTTTAATGTAGAAATGCTAAATATAAAAAAGGAGAATGTGTTTAAAAGACATAGAAACAGCACTCCAGCTGCAAAGGAGAGAGGAAGGTTGCAAAGGTGTAGATTGTTGCTCGAGTTAATGCGTATGTTTATATGAAATGGTCCATGGCAGACCGTTTTAACATTTATTAAAGGCACTCCTCTCTGTTGCTCCATTTGTAGATCACTGAAATAAGATTCTTCCTGATCAAACTCACACTCTTAGACCTAACTGTAACAATATATTTTCTAAAGTGAATTTTTGTAGCAGAAACTGCATTTTTGAAAGTAAAAAAAACAAAATTATACTAGTAAGAATTAAGTTTTATATATCTAGAAATGTTTACACATTTTAAGTGGCCGTTCTCACATCTATCAGCTTGACTGACAGTTTATTTATGATGTCTGAAAAAAAAAATTCATAGTTAAAAATAATACAAATGCTGACCAGGATTATTAAGATGGAGATCTAAAATTTCCAGAAGGTTTATTCCAGATGTGGAGAATATCATTTTGTTTGAAATAGTCATTTAGACAAAGAAAACATGTTGTTTTTCAGATATCAGGAATACGTATTCAGTAAAACTGGTACGTATCAAAACGGCTTGAATTGTAGTAAATCAATGTATCTATTTAGGTGACATTTTCTGGCAGCAGGTTAAAATGAAGTCTAAAAACGTTCTAATATATAGAACCTGTGGATCATCTCAGGGGTCCCTCTTCATGTTGATTCAGTCTTCTTTTACACAGTAAAGCGTCTGTATGCAGACAAATGGCCATTATAAGCAGCGATCAGGCCCATACAATGGCTTCAGATTGTGCCAGTAGGCTCATTAGGGTTGTCGTCGAGTTAATCCTTATCCTAAAGTTATTTATTTTCCTCCAAGGAATTCATGTACCAATTTATGTGTAATCTCAAAATAATATCAGCAGTTCTTCATGTACAGTAAATATAACTAAATAAAATGATCGGCATCTTGCTCGAATTAAACAAACATAAAAACACGTAATCTCATAGCATGTCAACTGAGTTGTAGAATCCTCTCCCTATAAATATTAATTTATCTGTGAAAAAATGCTGATCATTTTTTGATAAGATCCTCTTCTGACGTACATGCAATGTTTGTTTAAAACCTAATGTGTCCAACGGACCGAGGGAAGGATATATATTTTTTATGCACAAAAGACAGCAGCAGAGACAGAGGAAACTGCTACCTAAATCTAACCTTCTACTGACCAGGTTAGTTCTGGGGAGACTGTTACTACGCTGACTGAACCAGAGGTTGAGGAAACTCTTTGTGAACCAGAAAAGTCAGTTTCCCTGTTTTCAGGTTTAGACAACTGAGTTTTCGTTAAACCTGCCTTGTGAAACGGAGCCCTGGTTGTCAGGAAGGACATTCAGCATTAAAGCTCTGCTGAGTCTGTGAGCAAGTACTAATGACTCACTGTGGCAGCCCCTGAATATTTGAGGAGCTAATAATAAAAAATAAAAAAAACTTTTATATAGAGAAAACAAAGGTGCTTTTTTATTTTTTCCACGATTAAGTTTACAATACCATTAATTACTGCTATGACAGCAAATAGTTTGGTGAAAATGGGAAACAGCAGATCTGATGATTTAATGTTTTGTTTCTGTGTTCTTAATCTTTCACAGAGAGAAAGACAAGATCACCACACGAACCCTGAAAGCCAGGATGGATTAGAGCTTGTTTCTCGCTGCACTTCCTCCATGCAGTTGTTTTGTATAAAACTGATTCAAACACACCTGTTTTGTTTTCTTACTGATGCTGTCCAATAAATAAAAAAATGGGTTTAAACAATCAACATTTGTCATGTGCTCATGCCGTGTCCACTGTGGTCTTGAAGGGGGTTGCTGTTATCCAGAGGATTTTGTTCCACCCCATTCTCTGTACAGCGAACAGAAGAATGCATCAATGCAATTAGTTATTTAGACATCTGCTTATGTGTTGTAGGTAATATCCCAAAAAGGTCAATAGGTTGCTCTACCAATGACTTTTTTTTTTTTGCAGGATAACTTGTTATAGATGGAATGTTTAACAGAAGCATCACTTAACATTATTTCCTGATGCATTGCAATACATCAAGAAAATAACTTCTTTAAACCAATGCATCAAATGTACTTTAGTAACGTATTATGTTAAATAGTAAAACTGCTTTTTAAATGGAATATTTTAACCTGCATGATTAAGTAAATATTAGCTTGCACATCCTGAACTTAATGATCTAATTGAACTAAAAATGGAGGATCTCTTTTCATCAGTGATCATAGGGATTATAAGTGCTGGATTAAGTTAATTTGATCAATCAAATTGGGATTATTCTTTTTAATCTACACAGGACCATTTGTTTAAATACTGTACCTTCCAACAGGCAGCTTTTCAGCACAAACCTGGATTTTAAACAGTTCAGAAATGTCTAATATATTTAGACAGCAAAGTGTTCTTCATTTAGGAAACCTCACCTCAACCACAAACTGGCTTAAATTGGAGGAACATAGTCACCATGACCTGGATGACAGAATTTTCACACTTACCCTTCCATTTATTCTAGCTGGTTTTTTAGGATTTTCCTCCAGAATGTGTTTATCCATGTTGGAAGCTGTGAGGCTGATTTTATTAATAGGTTCTAATCCATGCAGACATCTTAAGAATTTATATTTCACCCATTTATGACTAGCTTAAATAACCAGTCTCCTCCCTTTACGCAGACAAGATCAGGTGGTTAAAACTTTGACACATTTGGTCGGTCCAACTTGATGGATCCAAAACCAGAGGTCAGTAGAGTATCCAAGAACGGTATTTTAGAGTAGCACTACTTCATCGTGCCTTCTTGGTTAAAAAAAAAAAAAAAAAAAGACTACTCAAGTACTGAGTATCTGATCTACTTATAACCCATTACAACAGCTGATTTTATATTTTTTGAGACATCTTATTAATAGTTACAGCATGTTAGAATTGATTAAAGTAACTTTTTACTGTAATTTCCCTCAAATTCCATGAAATATTTTTTTTAACCAAATAGCTTTGTAAAACATGCTTGTATTCATTAAGCAAAGTTATAATGAAGTAGCCAGAAAGTTTACACAAGAGTAGTGATACTTTATTTTACTCAAAAGTAAAAACTACAACACTGTAAAACTACTCCTAAAAATACATTTGAAAAAAAAAAAGCTCCTCAAGTAAATTTAACCATTTACTACCCACCTCTGCCCAAAACAGGCCCCAACCCATTGAACACAGAGGGAGTGTGTTTAAAGGCAGGGCCTGAGCTTGAAAAGGATTTCTAATGAACTCTACTAAATCTGCCAAATAAAGTGGTCAGAGGAAAAGCAGGACAATGTTAACACCAGCAAAGAGGGAACAACGGATCTAAATTAATCTGTGTTTATTCAAGTCTTTCTAATGGGTGCAGGTAAAATTCAGAAAGGCATTGTGCAAATGGGAGCTCTAAAAAACAAGTAACTTTAACCCTAAATGTTTAATTATCTACAAAGTGGTTGACTCGTCTTGCATATTTACTAATTTCCCCAAACTCCACAGTTTGAAGTAACTATGTGGAGATGCAACTCATTAAATAAGGAAGACTATATTTTGTGTTCAATAAGCTTTCAACTTGATCTGTTAAGTATTTGGATAATTCCCTTATGGGATCACACAAAAATTTTAGTGTGATTTATCTCCCAAAGTTTATGAATTTATAAAAACATGCACACAGAGGGCAAGAAAAGAACGAGGACAACAAAAACAAGATAAAACTCCCTTTAATATGCAATGAGTCATTTTTTTCAAGTAACCTTTTTTCCTAATGTCTGTTGGTAACAAAACAATACTGTATACAAACACAAAATTGCTACATTAATGTAAACAAGATATAAAAATGATCATTATGGTAATAAAACAAGTATTTGCTGCAGAATTCCCCTTTTTTTCTTTTGTGAGTTTGTGTTTCCTTATTCCAACCAACCTCCACCCAACTTCTGGGTTAAAATTTTAAAAACATCCAGAGAAATTATGGCAACATAACATTTCAACTTTTTTTTTTTTCCATATTAATCCTTTTAGTCATAACACTCCGATGTTTAGTGGTTTGATGTTACAACTGGTACTGGAGTCTCATGTACATGTCAGCCATGCATTTTTTTTTTTTTGACACTGCATTCGTTTAGTCTATACACTGATATATTAATGTGCTAATCTCCAATTTGTCAGCAGTACATGTAAATCTTAGGAGAAGCCTGGTGGCGACTGTCTGAGAAGTTTGTCATGCAATTTGGTCATTCTGCACCTGTTTGTCTAAAAGAAAAACAGCATGAACAGTGACTGAGGAGACTCTACTGACTGACATAACTGCTGAAGCTGATGCTCTCGTTCAAGGCATTAGTGAGACAGTTTTCGTGCTGGCATGAGGAGCAATTGAAGTGTTAAGGAGTGTAGATTTAAAAAAGAAAATAAAACAGGAGGAGGATACTGGGATTTGATTTCACAAAGTGAAGAAGGGGTGGGTGTTGCGTAACAGGCTCAAAGGATCCCCCAGCAGGACCTCTGCAGCGTTTGGGGATCTTACTGGATGCTTGTTGGATTGTTTATTTTTATTTTTTATTCGAGGGGCGAGAGACCTACACACAGAAGTGAAAGTGTGGCATCTGACTGATCTATGACTGGAGGTGACCGGCTGGACTGGAGGATAATTCTATGATAGGATGTTGGACATAAACTCGTAGAACCTTTTGGAGTACTGCTCCGGGTTCACCGTCGAGATCTCGGCCCCTGCCTGCACAAGAAAAACAGGAGAGCCTTTAAAGTCAGAACAATAACAGAACTGCAGACCAGCGTGAACAAAAGTTGACGTCGCTTTAATTCCTGCAAGATCAGAAGATCCTTAAAAACAGCAGCAATTAAATACATTATACTCAATTAAGAACATTGAAAATGATTTGTATGAAAATGCAGACGTCTTCTTCTGGTCTGCTGATGGAAGCACTTTTCAACCATACGGTTGATTTAGCAGCTGTGCTTAATGCAACAGCAGTGATTGATATTTTAGCAAAGCTTGATCCAATAAAACAATCTTCATAAACAAGACTGGAGAATTTAAGTTACCAATATACCTCATGTTGCTTGTCTTAAATCATACCTAATTATCAAAATCAAGTACATCTTTGATGGTGAAAACTATTTTATTGTAAATAAACCCTGAAAATACATAATCATCCTACAGAAAAAACATGTAGGTATACATGGTGTTTAAAAGCTGTCTCATAGAACAAGTAACATGCTTAAAAACTTTAAAAAGACATGTAGTGTATTAAATATATCAACACAAATATTTATGTAGTGAATAGGATTAATCTACTGTTTACAAACAGCAAGAATATAGATTAATGGGAACCTCTCAAATCAACTAACAATGCAAAGAGGGTGTCGGCAGCGGTGTCCGTTAACCTTTTGATTGAGCCTCTGGTTTGGTTATCAGGGAGGTTTACTGAGGATGTGGAGAACAATATATGCTGATATGCGGATAACGGTCCTCTAGCCGTGGAAAATACTGAATTTTCTATCCTACTGCTTATGAACATTCTGGAAAAGTATGGGATTTTTTTCGTTTATACACTCAATGTACAAAAACCCTAATTTTGACCTAATTTTTCAAGCCATCAAAGCAATAAATGGAATCAAATTGTGTACTTTGTGCTTTTTTAACAAAAAAAAAAAAACTTGCACAGCTCTATGAAAATTCATTTCAAACAAATAAGAAAATCTATGATGATCTGGAGAGGTGGAGCCTATGGACAATGAAGGTAAACGTTCTCCCTAGATTATTATAAATCTTTGCAGCACTCCCAGTAGAGATCCCAACAAAACAATTTAGGGAGTCTGATCTGCAATTTTTTCCATATTTATATGCAGAAATAAAAGATAAAAGACCAAGAGTAAAATACTCAAGCCTTTGACTGGCGAGGGATAGTGGATTATTACATGTGGGCCCAGATTAGACCTTTAGAATGCTGGTGTAATCCAAACTACATAGCAGAACATTCAATGAGCTCACTATATTGAACTTCCCTAAACGATCTATGCTTGGTTGCTCAGACAGGCCTCCGCAAGTATGCAATTTCCAAAACTGAAGTGCAAGTTTTCCTTAAAGAACTGATCTGAGGTGGTTAAAAAGTATAATCTGAAAAAACAGACAGGAGTGTTGAGTTGGTCGGCATACCATCTGTGCTTTCTCATGATATTTCTAATCCCTAAATACAGACTGAATCACTTCCTTCTGTAACATAACAAAAAATGGGCATCTGGAAAATTGCAAGGATTTATGCCAGATTTCTGAGATTGGAGGAGAGATTTTGATTTTGATATGCAGGTGCAGTTTTTTTAGGGGGAAACCATGACCACTGACTTAGTGATGAATCCAGGGATAATGCAAGTCATAATGTATGCAGAAACGCAGGGTTTATACAGGAAATAATAACTCAAATTTAATACTTTTTAATGCTCTTAGAAATAATTTTAATGCCACCAACAAGTACCCGTCAGGCTGCAGCCATGTACCAAATTCCTCGTTTTCCAACCAATTTTGTGGAAACTTGCTTTTTCCCTCCATTCTCTTGCTTTTTCTCCGACTCAAGCTTCTTTTCTGAACATACAGCTTTGCGATCAACCGGAAGCAGTTCCACAAAAATATATCGTGATATAATATGTCTGACGAAATTGTTTTTCTAAACATTTTTTTAATAAAGCATTTTAAATGCCACAATAAAAACATTTAATGAATCTTAATGCCAATTAAGGCCTTAATTTAAAAAATAATAATTTAATGATTTTTAATGACCCGTGGAAACCCTGAAACTGGTAGTTATTAAAAAGGTATAATTGGCAAACTTTACAGAAATTTCACATCTATGAATACGTGGCCAACAGATATCAATTAGCATTGGGTAAAGGAAGCGAAGGATTACATCTCAGTGGAAGTTTCATCTCGACTATGGAAAAGCACCTTTTCTACTATAGAATGGTGAGATTCCTGGAAGAACCTAATCAGGTTTTTTATTGCAGCAGAGCAGAAATCAATGGTTAAGTTGTGCACAGTTGCCATTCTGGAGGAGCTGGTTACTGTAGATTACTTTCATATCTTCTGGTCCAGTGCTAAGTTGAAGATGCTTTGGCATGCTGTTAAGCAAATAATCTGAAAGCCTGGAAAGAGTATTGGACTTTTCTTTCATCTTCTTGTACCTCCTAAAAATCTCTGAAGGCCATGGTTCAAGTGACACATATTTAATGAAGATCTTTTGATTGCAAGCAAGGCGGCAATCACCAAATGCTGGCTCCAGTTAAGCCCCCTGCAATGAGGCCCCCCTAAGCATTATTAACCTGATCCCCGAAATCGAGACCAGGACTTTTTCACTGCAGAAGGAGAAAGGAGAGAGACTCGGGGAAAAATTGAACAGTTACTCAAATACTCTTAACTTAACTTTTGTGAATTGGAAAATATACCTGCCTCTCTTGTCTGTAACCCTCAACTGATGCCCGGGCGCTGCACAGTGGCAGCTCACTGCGCCCCAAAGAGGATGGCTTAGATGCAGAGTTAATTTCTCCATTGGGAGATCAATAAGTTTAATTTATTTATTTTACATTTAGAAAGAATATTTAAAGGCTATTTTTAAAGATTCTGAGTCACCCAGGTCAGTCATTCCAAAAAAGTAAAAAAAACAAACAACAGGACTTTGTTTTCCAAGTTTGAAGACATTTCGCTTCCCATCCGGGCAGCTTTCTCAAATCAAATGTCTGGGTTAACGCTGAGTTTCCGGCTTATAGAGTGGCTCCAAATCTGGAAACTCAAAGCTAATCCGGACATTTTGAATTGAAAAAGTGAAACGTCTTCAAACTTGGAAAACAAATTTCAGCAGTTTGTTTTTGTTTCTTTTTTTTTTTACTTTTTTGGAATGACTGACCTGGGTGACTCAGAATCTTCACCAGCATATTTAAAGGCTCTTAATTTAAAAGTTTCCACAAAGTTAGTTTCTGCATCATTTTGACTGAAACAAACAACTGAACTGCTTCAGGCTATGGAAGCTTTGTTATTTGTTAAGACTATACTACTCCATTAAAGAGAAATTAAGTGCTAACATCAAGCTCAAGGCTAATTAACTTTTGCATCATCTGCAGCCTAAGGTAATGGAGAAGGAATGTTTAATGCATGTAACATTCTGTCTGCATGTTGTGCAGCTAGAAAAATATGTATCTGACCAAAAAAGGGACATAAAATGTCAATAATGCATGGATAAAAAAAACAAACACCAACACAAAAAATCCAAGTTAATGGTCTACACTTATATAGTGTCTTTCAAGTCAGAGGACTTGACCAAAGAGCTTTACACTACATTCACGTGCATACTCACACACAAAGCGTGGCAAAATATATAGTAGCCACAGATGCCCTCGGGCTCGCTGACACCGGGCCCTCTGACCACCATCAGTAGGCAATGCAGGTGAAGTGCATTGTCCAAGGACACAACGACACTGAAAGCCGGAGCTGGGGCTTGAACTAACAACCCTCAAGGCAAACTCCTACATCCAATGTAACAAACGTTTCAGCCCAATGCAAGATGTTTAAAAAAAAAAAAAGATTTCCTCATGGTAAAGTCTTTAAAATAAAATCCTTTCCAGTTTTCCTGAAGCAATAGCCTGACATAATGTCTGACCAAAACAATAAATGGTTTCAGAAAGTGTTCATGCTGTAGGCTAAACTACTTTGCTTTTGGCACATGAACTACATTCAACCCCTTTTATTTCACCATCTTTGGTCCAGGCATGTGACAGAGCTGCACTGCAAGCAGTACCTGCTCATCAGGTTGACATTAACCACTGTGGAGATGGGGAAGTGTTTCCATCCTCTGATTAATCGTCAGACAAACTTTTAATCAGTCCCTTTGGACTGAATTACACAGAGAGACCATAAAATCAACCCTCCAAATAGCTTGAGAAAAGTCATAATCCTCCAATTTACAATCCTTTAACCGTTTTTGTTTCTAACGAGTTTCTAACGTGCCGGCTTCCGTAGCGTCGTGAACGCGCAGGTGTGCGCTTTCAGGAAATCCTATACACTACTGTTTATGCTCTAAAAACATTCTAAATGACTTCGTTTCGAGTAAATTCTGGATGCTACCCACTCAGGACACTTGGAATACATTGGACGAGCAGTATAGAGGAATATTGACATGTTTTTTGTGGACTTTTATGGACCTTTCTGTCTCGGACACCGTAGACCTCCATTATTTGAATGTCAGCAGACAGCAAGAAGCCTCCCAGATCTCCAGATGCATTTGAGATATCAAAAAAGTACTCCAGAGTGTTGTTCAGCATATCATTACCCCTCGGCTAATCATGTTTTGGGTGTACTATTCCTTTAAGGTTGATTTCTTCAGGTTCCCTTCTAATCCACAATGACCTGCGTTTATAACAGCAGATATTTCAAAGAATGATTCCAAGTACAGTAACTCTGTGAAACCCACTGGTCTTATTTCAAAGTCCATAAAAAGAACGAGCATTCAACACTCACCCCATGTTTCACAGTTTTGGCAGCATGTGCAGCTTTTTTCTTAGCATCATAGTGCGTGAGGATGTCAATAATAGCCATAAAGTAAACCTCCTTCTTCACAGCACCTGGAAAAATAAAATAAATAAAATTACTTTACATTACAGCTGATAATACTGGAGACAACCACAAATGTTCCAGTTCTTGGTGCTGACAACCTGATAAGATGATTGACTTGGTTTTACTCAGTAGGTTGGAAAAGTGTTTATATCTTTTGAACTTTCAGATTTTGAGTCATCGCAACCTTAATTTATTTTGTTTGCATTATGTGGTTATTTAAAACTCCTCTGGGTTTAGGTCTGGGCTATAACTCCACCTTCCTAATCATAAGCTGCTCTGTTTTCAGCCCCTCAAATCCTTTAACCTGAGCTCATTCTAGTATAGTTTTCTATCAGTGCTGGATTTCTCCTTGCCTCTATTCTATAAATTTGTGGAGTATAACGCCTGATGAATTCTCCCACCTGAGCGGTGCATCTCTGCAGCTCCTGCAGACCTACCAGAGGCAGGGCTCGATGTTAAGCATCGTCCGATCTCCCGAGGCAAGTAGTTTTTATTGTTGGGAGAGTACAAATTTCATTGCATTTGCAAGTGCAATGATCACAAAAAAAAAATGTATCACTCAAAATTACTTTAAAATCACAGACATTCGATGAAAACGACCCAGAAGTGTTGCCGCCGCCATGTTTGTTGTTTTGTACACATTCTCACGTGATTTGAAAAAGCCGGGCGATTTTCCACCAGATGGTGATTTTTGTCCACCTAGCGGTTATTTTAATGTAGTTACCAAAATGACAAACGGCTGCATTTATTTTGTCACGGAAAACTGCTCCTGAGTCAGTTAAAAGTCAGAGAATTCTGAAATTATATAAGACTGTGGAGACCCTGAATAAAATAGCTATGTATAATGATTCTCTAGAAAAGTCACATATTAATATTATTATCTTGTATAAACATACCGTGACTCTAAAATAAAAGTTATTCATTTGTGACGTTGACTTCTGTCTTGTGATTTATCTTAAGTTTTAAACCTGTCATGTTTTTTTTTTTTTTTTTAACATTACAATTTATATTTTTCCAAGCACACAACAGTTTGAAGCAAATTTTAGTTTGAAAAGAATGTGCAGGAAGGATTGAAAAGCATGTTAGCACGGTAATGTAGGCTTGAGTTCATTATCTGACGCATGCATATACACACCAGGAACATGTAAACTTAAAAAATACTGAATTACAAAAAACATTCAAAAAACAAACATGTCTCATTGATATATATACAAAAATGAATATTAGGAACTATATTTATTAAACATTATACTGGGCAAGTAAAAATTGTTTCTGGGCAAATGAAATGTGAAAGTCACTTGGTGGTAAAAATGGTAAAAATCCTTAACGTCAACCCTGGAGAGGCCTCTTAACTTCCAATGAAGCCATATTTTTTTTATTTCTTGTGATAACAGAACACAGTTCTGTGAGGGTAATGTTCTATACCCAAAACCCAAACCCTGCTCTCAGTGTTTCCACAGCTTCCTCGCAGCTGTTGAGTAGTAAGCATAATAGTGAGGATGTAAAAGGTGCAGGATGGCGGACCTGGAGGAGTTTGAGACTTTTGGTCTATATAGATGCTCTTAGTTCACTTAAAAACCCTTTGACAGCTTCACAGAGCAGCCATGTTTATACTGAGATAAGTTAAGAGTTTCTTTCAGTGAGTCTTAATTAGCTGCACTTAATCTTATTTTGAGGCGTTAGTGTGAAAGTGACTGAGAACCTAATTGTAAAACTCACTTCAAAGTTATTCTTAACTCTGTTCAAGGAAGTTAAAATTAATTGCATGTAAATTTGTCGCTGTAGAAAGACAAAATCAGAATTCAAGCAGCATTAATGTATTTGCAACTTGGACCTTTAGTCAAATTCAATTCTCTTTCATTTGTGTTTTTATTTTTCTAATTTTAAATAAAATTGCTCACTATCATGGCTCTTGATTGCGTAAACATCAACAGAGGGGTCGAACTCCCCGGGGCCGAAGAATCCCCCGTAGTTGAGAGGGTTTCCAGGACTGTCAGGAGGCGTGCCGAAAGAACCAGTCAGCACGCCCCGACCCATTTCATCGTTCTCAAATTCCTCCTCGTCCCCGCCGCCCTCTACGTCCATCTCCTCCTGCTCCGCCCGCTCTATGTCATGGATGCCCACCAGCAGACTGTAGTCCATGATCTTCAGGGTGGCCAAGAACTAAAACACACATACAGAGAGGCCTCATTATTCTATAAAAATAGAATTCAGAGAAAAGTCTTTTGCACTTTAAAGAAATAAAAACTGAATCACGGAGGTAGACTAACAAATAAGCAGAGCTAACGTCCCAATAAACCAAAGTTTCTCTACCTCAACATCCCGTTTTAGCTTCTCCAAAAAGTACTTCTTGTTATCGTCTCCTATCTGCAGCTTGTGCCCTTCATTCAGGAAGTCATTGTCTTTAAAAGTAGGAAGCTCTTTAGCCTGAAGAGAGAGATGCATTATATCAGATTTCTATCAGCCATGCTTACATCACATCAGGTAACTAAACATCTAGAGAAGCTTTGAGCAAACAAACACTTTAAAACAAGCCTCAGGATGTTATGAAAGATATATTTAAATGAGGCCGTTGCACAAGGTACCAACACAGTGTATCTGCTTTCATTCTGCTTAGAACTACTTAATTTAGCTGTCATTTGACAAGTTTGCTGCTGGGGTCATCCGAGGGGGGTTATTTTTGGTCCCTTCGTGACGGCAGCCCGTCAGCACAAAGAAATGAGGCTTACCTTCTCCTTGTCACTGGCTTCCCTTGCAACTGTAGAACCCTAAAAATCAGGATAAAAAAAACAAAAACAAAAACAGAAAAAGAGGATTTAAACAAACAAACTTAATCAGAAGAACCTTTAATAAGACAATCTGTATGTAAGCATAGGAGGTAATGTAAATAAAGGGATATGAGACTGGTGTGGCACTGTTAAGACCATGGCTAGCATTAATGCTCAGCATAAACTGAGATCTAACAGCTTTCAGCAACGACCTAGACTTCTAGTCTCCTGTAAATTGGGTTATCACCAAACTGTGCTGCTGAATTAAAATATCTTCACAAGGCACCATAAAGAAAAGCTCCATAAGGTGAAGGATAAAAAGAGAAAATATCCTGGAGCAGTTAGATTTGGTTCATCGCTTCAAAACAGATACAGTGGTGAGGTGAACATCCTTTTTTTTAAATTACAGTTCTGATTCTCTTTCCACAAGAGGCAAAACAATCCAGTTAATTAGATTAACGTCTTTCGATAGCACAATTTATTTTTACTGCAAATTGCAAGGGTGCAAGTCCCAATTCCTTCTCTATTTAATAAGACTTCTCAAGTTCCTTAAGTGTTTTTTTTTCATATATTGACAGATGGGCTGCTGTAGGGACAAATGACTGGACAACTGATGGAAAAAAACAGGTAATATAATAAATGCTGAAAGTATGGCTGAGCAGACAAGTGGATGGATTAACAAAAAAGCAGGTGGGCGAAAGGATGGATGGATTATAGGCGGACTGAGAAGATGACCATGGTACAGTATATTACACTTTTTATTTTACCTTCAGGTCATATTTGCGGTGCACAGTGAGACGATGGCTGAAAACGTTCCGGGTCACCACCATGTACGTCTCTACGCCGTCCACCGTTAGCCTGTACATTCCCAGGAACTGGGGGAGCAGCGTGTTGCCATGACACTCCACTATGAACTGGAACCAAGGAGAGGAGACGAGCGATGTAACGAGGAGTGTGGGAGTGATAGAAAAAAAAGACGGGAGGCATAAAAAAAATAAAAATCACTTCCAACACTGATTAAAGCTCAGCACAGAGCTGCTTTACTGTCCTTTTAAGTTCCACAGCAGTGCATCATTTACATCAGTGTTTAAAGTCAGCTCAGAAGAAAGGGAGATAAAGGTAAGCCTGTGATTCAAACAAAAACGACAGTTCTACCTGATGATATTTCTTTAGAATGTTGTGCATCTCAGCAATGTCCTCACTGGATACTGTTTTGATTACGAAGCGATGGTCGTAGCTTGTCAGGAAGCGGTTACCGAAGCGGCCCTGGGAGTCACTGTTAAGAGGGGCGCTCCTGGTCAGAGAGTTCTGAGACACACCACAAAAAAAAAAAAAAAAAAGAAATCACTTTTTACCAGCTAATGCAGAATTTAATTTCCTCTACTGGTGTTTGCTGACTTAGTGAAAAAGTGTTTCACCTGGTAGTCCTGGTCGTCGATGGCGAAACGCTCCCTCAGGTTTCGGAACACCATGGGACAGTACTCTTTAAACTTAAAGCGACTCGGTAGATTTTCTCTGACGAGAGACACAGATGAAGGGTGAATGGCACAAAGTTCTGAGCACCATTTGGAGGAAAAATAACAAAACACACTATTTCTATTAGCTTTATCCATCAATAAAACACTGCAGTATTGATGCTAGAATAGTATAAATAACAATAAAACACTCCAAACACTAAACTAGGCATTATCAATCTCAGGTTGAAAGTTTTAAGTTTGATATATAACACATAATAGGACTTTAAAAACTTTGTTTTGTGCAGGTAGCTTACTCTGGTTGTATAAAGGCTTTCTGATTAAATTATGATGCCCTGTTGACACACATTTTATTTAATTTCAGTGTTTTACTCTAGATTTGTAGGTGATGTTAGTAAACCTAAGTGTTTTCAGTAAAGACACATATTGATATATTAGCCGGCCAATACGTGAACACGTTTGCTGATTTGAAATCACATAAACGCCTGCATTGCTGCCACTGTCATTTCCTAACCATTAATAATAAAAGCTTCCTATATAAATGTTCATTTTACTTAAATTGTGACTCGTTTCACATTTTTCATCACTATGTAAATGTAATTATAGTAACAGATGCCTGCCATTTGAGTTGTTGAGTTAGCATAGCATTAGCCCTCCACCAACTTAAATTGCTGCAGCTGAAGTAACAGTTGTCAACAGGACAACAAATGTCTAAATCAATTCAACCAAATATTCTGCAGCAGAATGTCCAGTTTGAACAAAATATCTGTTGCTTTCAAGGAAAAAAACAAAGAGGCTGCAACATCCAAAGTAACTATGATAATATAGATGGTATAGATGCTGATGTGGTGTATTTACACATTTCCATTGTGTTGTTTTTTTTTCTTCTTGTTTAGCATTGAATACCGATTCTGTATGACAACAAACCTAAGGTCAGATTGACATCAGGAATAAAAAAAGATTTTAGAAGTAAGAATTTACTTCCAAAGTGTTTTGGGGTATTTTGAATGGCTAAAAAAAGATTAGTACAAGTATTCACAATATCCAGACCCAGGTATACTGAGAAATTAGGACAAATGCTCGTCAGGGAAGATCTCTTGCCCAGAGAATAAAACAAGGTTCCTATAAAATCCTCTGTGTTACTGTAATTTTAAACCAGATTAAAAGAAGCATTTCCTGCAGTCATTGCAAGAACACGAACAGACAAAACGAAAGTCCAGAATGATTTAACAGGATGTTGAAAAACCACTGATCAGCATCATGAAAGGCTCGACTAAAAACTAATTTAGCAGACTGAGCTAATTATATCAATCATTCTTCAGGATACTTCATCTAGTGCTGTAGACCAAAGGGACGTCTCAATTCAAACAAGTCTTTTATATTTCAGTTTTGCCGTTTTAAAACTTTTCACAGCATGTGAACTGATGTACCTACTTGTTAAATAGGTGGTTGTCCACTTTGATCTTACTGTAGGCTTTAAAGTCGTCTGGCATCAGCATCACGGGTACAGGCACATTACTTAACTCATTAATCTAAAAGGAGGATGAGAAGAAAGACAAAGGAGGTCAGAAAAGTAGAGTTTAAGCAGTAGATGTCTATGCGAACGATGCACAAAGAGGTTACATGATCCAAAGGCCTTGGCAACCATGTATTAGGGTAACTAGTGTGCAAAACGTGTCACCATATCCTTCCTACAATTGTGAGTGTACTGCAGTGATGCCTGTCTGCCCCCTCATCAACCAACAGAAACATGTTTTGTTCTGTCTGGATTAGGTACTACTAACAATGCACTGGAAAAACGACCTAGAATTAAGTCAAAATTTCTTAAATTAAGTGTATTTACCCTTAATTTGAGTAGGTAAATGAGATGATTTGCCGATGGAATTAGTATTTTTACTCTTAAAATAAGATATTTAGATAAAATACACTTGAAATAAGACAATGCAATTGTGTTTTCTTATTTTAAATGTAAATTGTCTTGTTCCATTAGCATAATGTCACTTTTACCTCCTCAATCCAAGAACAAATGTACTTATTTTAAGGAGAAAATTACTTATCTAGATTTTTATTTTTTCCAGTGTGTTTATGTATCTGATGATCAACTCAGCAAGCTATACTCCTCAGAAATCTCACAGTCCTGAATTGTGGTAAAATAACACGAAAGCTGGAAAGTTAGGAACACCATATCTTTTCAGAGAATGACTACAGAGGCTGAGCAGGCAGCCTGATTAATTCAGAAATTAAATGCAACTCCATATACCCAGGCTATAAAGAGCAGGACAGGAGAAAGCTACAGGGTTCTCCCCAAAGCATTTTGACGTCAGCCGTTAAAAGTTATGCTTTAATTTGGGCCTCACCCTGACTCTCAAAGAGCATAATGGCAGCAGAAACTGATTTTGAACACATTTACATGATTATTTGCACAAACCTGTGAGAAACTTGTCTTGGACCACGAATCAGCCCTTTCACATTTACACTAGCACTTGTTTTGCTGATCTAGGTTTAGTGTTTCTCCTACCAATTTACCAGCAAGGCGCCTGCCAATCAGAAGCCTGCTCACTTGGCGTCCTACATACTCTGTGACCAACGCAGATCCTTGCCGAATCCTGCACTCACATGAAGGGGACCATGTATACTCCCACCCACAGACATGAAGGTTTAAAAGGAGTGGTGATGAAAGGGAGGTTAGGAAGGTAGCGGGTGGCTCAGTAAAGTGTAGGTGAATATGAACAGCCCATTGTTAAAGAAATCAATAATCAATTCAATAAAACAAATTTTAACTTCTTTACAGGTTTACTAATTGTAACTACAGTATAGAAGCTCTAGCTAACAGAGCAACCCACTCAGAGCAGTAAATGTACAAAAACTCTAAAAAAACAACAAAACAAAAAAAACATTGAGACATTCTGTCTTAAAGATGAGAAACCATCAATATGCTCTAACCAGAACTCCTCAAGTGAAATAGTTCAAGTTTTACCTTCTTTAAATTCTGTTGGGGAAAAAAATCTTTTGCAATCCGATTGAAAAATGACAGATTAATCGATTTGCAAAATATTTATTAGTTACAGCCCTATTAAAAAGCTTAAACTAAAACATTCTATATTTTTATAACCCTGACTGATATATTTTAGCAGTAGTAGAAATATTTTTTGCTTTTCTTTTTTGTTTACATTTTTTTAATGCAAATATTATTGCTAATGACAACCCATGGCTAACAGTGACAGTTGTTTAAAGATTATTGCTAAGATTTTAACCCAAACAAACAGACAGAACAATGATTAAAGTTTAGCATGGTTTGTAGGAGCTGTCAGCATAATCAGTTAAATGGCCTCTGGGGTTTTGCAGCACTGATTTGATTCTGCCCAAAAAAAAGCATGGCTCAAAACTAATGCTGTTCAAGTGGCGAACTTCGATCCTATCTGCAGAAACACATGGAGGAACTTCAGACAGCCTACAAGATTCCTGCAACAAACAAAAAACAGCATGCTTTCAAACACAAAAAGGACAGCACTAAATGCCAGGGCGGCTGTTTGGCAAATTATCTTGTAGCAGGAAGTAAATAATCAGCACTACCACATTCATTTTACTGTTTTTATTTCTATTCCCCATCCCTGCTAGGCAACAATTATACATGCAGGCAACTTCAGACTGAAAGGGGACAGCTTTGATGAGAAGGCTGCTAGATGTTTTGAATCGGCCCAACACCCACACCTCAAATCATCAGGCCTGTGTGCTGCACCCACACACCCCAAGTTCAACTGCTGAATACTAAAGATGCTGCAGTAATAAACATCCCCTTCACTGCCTCTTTAGTCCCCAAACAGAAAGTTTTATTCCTCTAATTCTTTATCTAAACTTTACAGTCTACAGTTTTTTGGTTTTTTTTTTTTTTGTCCTGGCACAATGAACAGTGAAATGGCAGTCTTAGCAACACTAAAGCACAGCCGACTAAAATAAAAAAAATACTTGCATATGTATTACAATTAAAAAAATAAAAAAATAAATAAACTTGATCCAAGAAACTCATGTAAAAAAACAAAAAACAAAACTGTTGCTTGCTTTCACTAAATCCTCCTTACAATCACAGCACATCTAGATCACTTTAACCATTTATAAGGTATACATTTGACACCAGTTCCTGCTTTCTAGACACTTAAAAGGTTAAATAAATAATGAATACAAAGTAAGCCTAGTGCTTAACAGGATGACATGAAAAGATTTCTCCAAATCAGTGTAGGATGGGCCTAATTAAAAAAACCTATCCTAATTTCTAAAAGGTCCGTCTCTAATCTTTTCATTTAGAAGTATTGAGGAAGATCTTTTATTTTCGGGGTGGATCATCTAAATAAGTGGTCCTCCTAACTGTCAATCATTCTGGTGATATGTTTACGTAAAGCCGTGTTACATGCTCATCCGTTTGCTATCTTTTTCTGTGCATGTGCACTTATCATATATCTGTTATGAGCTACATTTTCAGTGATTGAAGCTCACAGCATTATGGGGGCTGTCGCTACCTGACAGCGACGACTAATAACAAAGATGCTGCAGGCGCTGCATAGTGGAGGAGGAGTTATGTGACCAACGGAGCAAAAAGCAGTGATCATCTGTCCAAACGGTCAGTTAACTGAGTTTGCTATAAAGTCCATAGTATAGAAAATCTTAAACACATTTTCAATGAAAAAAATACATAAAGACAGATAGGGAGTCCTGTTTCGTATATTCAGCACAAATACTGAGCTCTAATTTGGTGACTTGTTTTCATTCAATACAGAAATGTATTGTTTATTACAATGTTTTTAATTGTCAATAAAAATAACATAACTCTGCCATACTGATTAGTACTATATGTTGATATATGGACAGGTAGTCAGGGTGTCTGCTCATCTGAGTTTGCAGTAGTCAGCCTCTTAGCAGACATGTTGTGTGCAGTGTGCCAACTATGGTTTCAAAAATGTGTTATCTTTATAAGAACTAAGGTAGACATGTACTTTAGTTTCCACTTTATAACCGTCTAAGTATTTTACAAGCTAAAATATTTCCTAAAACGTCTAAATGTGCCAGTCTTGCGAGCGTGTGAAAAGTGCAGCAGCCTTTTTTCCAGCCACTTGAAAGGCTGCTCAATATAGACATCGAACTGTAAGAGACAGAACTTTAAAACAAAAAATGTTAACATTTATAACACTGTAAATTGTTAAAAATATTTCTAAAACTTTATACTAACCCACCTCTTCTTGCACTACCTTTGTACTTTATTTTTGCCATTTTTTCTCTCAATTGCACGTCTTTAAGTCATTTTATTTTTAGCTCACCTATTTGTCATGAATCCCACAGCCAATAATTTCTACTTGATGTTTTTTTTTTTTTTTTTTACTTTTTTCTCCTCTGCAGCTGATCTTCAAACACAGATGGCCACTCATACTGAGCCTGTTCCTGTCGGAGCTTTCTTTCCCATCAAATTAAGTTTGTTTTTTAATTCCCACGTTTGTCTAAGATGAATAATGGCTGCATAAAGCTCAATGGGCTTTCCTTAGAGAAACATGTTATATGTAATAAACCTTAAATTTACATTATAATATGTAATCAGAGTTGATTCTTTTTTGTTTAAAAAGATATTTGATGTGAACTGGCACATTTATTTATTCTATTTTATTTAAGGATTGAGATGTACATTGCTCGCTGGTTTTTTTTAGCTCTTGCCAAGTCTCCTCTGTAATCCCTTCAGGTCCAAAAGGCATCTTTTCCATGCATTTATCGAACTGTGGACGACACAAGGGGGTATCCCTTCTGCTTGTGCCACACATCCATCCATCCTTCTGCCACCCCTGGATGGCACAACCTGCCCAGCATTTAATAGCCAAAAGCAGCATCAGCCAAAGGAGAATGGGAAGGATTTTCTGCTCTAATTATAGTCAGATGATGTAATGGAATAAAGCGCAGAGAAGAGAAAGAGTAGAAACCCAGGAGCGGTAAATACGAGCTTAGAACAGGTTTGTTTTGAAATCTGTGTAACCAGCTGCTCCAGCTGCCTGTCCCTGCCCCTCCCACCTCACCATGCCTGCACCACAGCAGCAGCACATCACGACTCTCCAACCAAGAAACAAATACTTTACAATCCAAAATAATCTATGATGACAGAATAATCCCCACTAAGAGAGAGAGAGAGAGAGAGAGAGAGAGAGAGAAAAAAAAACATCTATGGCAGGGATGCAGATTTTTGCAGAAGCCTACTGTGTGTATTTGGAGTTTAATTCTTCTGAACTGGTTGTAATTAATGAGGTTTATGCAATCATGTTTTTTTTTTATAAATAAAACATATGTGGTGAATATGGCCTAAAAAGTCTGCTCATAAGTACACAAATATGAATTGTTGCAAAAAGCACAGCATCCCACCCCAGAACAAGCCTTTCCATTTGACTCCAGTAGAAAATCAGCTGAATTTAAATTTTCGTGCTTTTAAGCGTGAACGCTAGTTTGACAGAAGGGGGCGGCTAGCTGAGAAGGTGCAGCTAAAATAAAAACACAGGGAGGGAGAGAAGCAGCGGTGATGTACTCACCGTGTGATTGACGCCCCACATTAACACGCTCAGAATGGGCTCGCTGGCTCGAAACAGCTTCACTTTCTGTCCTATAAAATGCTTCTTTTTCGTCTTGGTTTTGCTGGCGCTGACGGCCGCCGCGCTGGTGCAGTTGGATGACATGATGATGATGATGCCGTCTCCGGCTGGCTCTTCGATTCACGCAACAACAAAAAAATGAACAAGAAAAAGAAACCCGCAAAAGTCAACGACGTGTAAACTGAAAGCTATAAGTGCATCATGGTGGTCTTCCAACTCCCGTTGAGTCCGTGTTAACGCAGGAGGACAGAGTGTGTGTGTGTGTGTGTGTGTGTTGGTTGGGAGTCAGTCAGCGGCGGAGCATTTTGCGCCGTCACCACCCTTCCTCCTCCCGAGCAGGCCGCGGCGGAGTCCAGCGAGGAGCAAGCTAGCCGGCCATCGGGCTACAGCGCCACCGCAGCCGTTCACAAAAAAAACAGCCAGCAGCGATGAAATGTCGCTGGGCAGCACCTCTTCTTCCTCCCTGGAAGTCTAAAATATGAAACTGTCGCTCTGCTGTATTATTTGACAGTGAATAATCTCCTCATGATGAGCTGGAGACGGTTGTCAACCGCCCTATGCCAAGCAAAGCGATACGTTTGGGGGTGTCCTCAAGATGGCGGCTGCACCCCGCCCCCTGCAGGCCTAGAAGGGAACTGCAGGGGTTCCCATTTTTTTTTCCATCTACAAAACATGACTGGTACGGAAGAGGATTAGGGCCACTGAAAAAATAAAAAAGTTAAGTGATTTTTAAATATTATTTCAGTACAATATGAGAAAAAGTCAGAGATCTAAGTCAGAATTCTAAGATTAAAGTCAGAATTCTGAGAAAAGTCAGAATTCTGAGAAAAAAAGTCAGAATTCTGAGATTAAAGTAAGAATTCTGACTTTTTCCCCATATTAAACTGAAATAAAACTTAAAAATCAGTAATTGTTTTTTTTTCCAGTGGCCCTAATCTTCTTCCGCTCTGGAATCCAACAGAAAATAAAAGGAAAATAAAAGCAAATGAAGATACAAAAAACATGGTCAAGCAGATAGTAAAGAAAATTATACAGCTGGATTGCAATTTTAAACTTATGATACTTTAACAGTTTAACAGGTTTGTGGATTTTAAATTTGACTTCAAAGAACTCGGGTTTCAAGCTCCTTTATAGTCTCCTCGGAGTTTATTTCAGATCAGTGGATGGTAGGAACTAAATGGGGAACTAAATTGGGAGTTGTGGCCTAGTGGTTAGGGCATAGAGCTTGGAATCCTGACAACCTGACAACAGATCTGTTATGTATTGAGGTGCTGATCCATTCGATGATTTATAGTCTAGGATTTTAAGGTCCATTCTCTGAGTTACAGGGAGCCAATTTAAGGACTTCAGAACTGGGGTGATATACTCTACTTTCTTAGTTCTAGACTGAGAACACAGACAGCACCACTTTTGATCAGCTGCAGCTTTCTGACAGACTTTTTAGGCAAATCTATGAAGACACTGTTGCAGCACTCAATTCTACTAAAGATACATTTAGATTTATATTCAGTAATTACCGTTATGTGCCTCTGAGGGTTCAGGTCTGAGTCCATCATAACACCAAGCTTTCAGCCATAATCAATGGTTTCTAGCTGTAGTATCTGAAGCTGTGAGCTAACCCTGGATCACTCCTGCTTTGGTCCAAATGTGCTACTAGCTACTGCGAACCCCTTTGCAAGATCACAAAAACACTTGATGTAAGATTTTAAGAGTTCATTTGATAAAAACGTTTTGCTGTCCCATTTGTTCTGTCAGCGTATATCATCATAATAAATTAATTTTGTTGTACACTGCAAAAACTGATCCAAAATTGTAGCATTTCTTAAACTGTGCAGGAAAATAAGGTGGTCCTCCATAGGATTTTGATTTTGAATATAAATCATCTCATCCGTTGGTAAATTGTCTTACCTACCTGCTGAAATCAGGGAAAATTACAGTTATTTCAAGAAAAAAATAGTTCCATTTTTGTAGTGAATGCTTACAGTATAGGAGCTGTAAGATGGGGCCAGGACCAGTTCTACAGGGGTAGGGGCCCCAGTCTAGAGCTGTCTATGAAATACATTAATTTAGTGGTAGTTACTACACAAATAACAAACAGAAACTTGTTATATCCTCCTGGTGAATGAATTAATTTTTTCATTTGCATGTAGAATACATGCATGCAAGCAAATGAAATGAGTATTTTTAAATAAGTTACCAGTAGCAATATCAAAAGCTATTTCAGCTATTTTAAAAAGAGCTGATATGAAATGGCTCCATTCACACTTCCATTGTTTAAGTTTATTAACAAATCTATCTGGAATATCTCTTTTCTGTTTAAATGTTTCAAAAAAAGGTTGAACAGAGAGGTACTTTTCTCTGAATGTTTAGGTCCCCTCTTTCATCCATTTTGCTGGCTCCTTAACAGAGCCAGCTGTGGAGATAAAATACCATTGCCTTTTCTAACAGAGAGTTTTTATGGATCAGAGCTTCTAAAGTATCTTCTGTCCTCTTAAACTCACAGTCAGTATCGCCAGGCTGCTCACCCTGAGCCTGGTTCTTTACAATTAAAAGGAAGTTTATACTCTCCACTGTTGCTCCATGCATGCTCGGTGTGAGGGATTGTTGTAGAGTCAACAAAAAAAATGCGATTGCATGTCTCCTGTAACCACACCTCATTTAGGACGAGCGAATCCTGCAAGACAATGAATCAATGCAGTCATCTGGCTTTTCTTAGTTAGAAACTTTGAACCAGTCTGATGATATGATCTGATTGAAATGTCTTTGTTAAGTGCCTTAAGATGACAGGTGTTATGAATTGTTTTTATATATGTATATATTAAACAATGACTTGAAATTGTATTTAATAGTCACTATTAAACTTGAGGAACAATTATTGGTTAAGCTTTTCTATATATATAGTAAGAGCAACAATTGAAAAGTTCCGAAACTGAAAATTGAAATAAAAACACCGGAAAAGGAAACCAAGCTTCCCATCATGCGTAATGAACAGGATTGAGGTAAAGAAAAAAAAGTTTGCCATTGAAGAAATGAAGCAAAAGGTGGCATGCTTTTCTATTTTTGAGAACACAAGACCACAATACACTGATATTTATATTTATAGATGTTAGATAGATGCCTTTCAGTGCATTACAAATATAGGGCCCAAAAACATCAATGCATGAAAAAAATAATTAATAAGAGCCGATTCCAATGCCAAAATAGATATATCATGCATCCCTAGAAGTATAATTTCAATTCCATCCAGGAAAAAATGGATATGCTGCATTTTAAATATAGCATAGCATATTTTTTTTCTTGTAAAATTTCTGGTAAACTTGGAGATATATTTTATTGCATGTTGCATATCCAAGTAAATCTGTTTCACCTTTAAATCTGCAGCTCTCCCTGCTTCTCTCTGTTTAAAAAGATTTATTAACCTACTAATTTAATGATGCCAGACACAAAATTTCAAGATATGTAGAAGCTCTGCAGTCTGATTCTGTCTGTTCAATAAAAAAACCTGTTAATTTTAACCTGTAAATGTGCGTCATGGTCCTCTGAGAAGCCAAGATTTTTTGAACTAGTAAAGAAGAACAAACTTTGTTTTCTCAAACTTCTTGCATTATAATACTAACTTGTATAGACTTACAATCTGTTGCAATTTTTAGCTGAAAAAGCTCCGTATGTCTAACGAATATATTTTATTGTGGCATCTCAAATTTTTTTAACCTAACCTAACCTAACTTTTACTTAAACATCGAAGTAGCTACTGGTTAATATTCACTAAGTGCTGCTGTGTGTCTCTCCTCCAACCATGTAGCTACTCTCTAAGCAGTGAAATGTAACTGCAAATCAAATGTCTCAAAGTGACAGATCCGATTATGTTAGACTGAGATGCGGGACACAGGAGCAGCGGGAGAGAGGAAAAAAAAACCCTGACTCAAAATGCTCTGAACACAGATAGCTGCACCCAACCTCTGTTATCTCCGTTGGCTCCAAGAAAATACAGAGGACATGACCTCGGTGTTCTCAATGCTGGTTACGGAGCTGGCAGGTAATAGACATGAGGATTCCACTAGATGACTCTTGGTCATACTTGGTAATCGAAAAGTAATGAGTATATGAGGAACACATGAGCACTAATGTTATATCATTGTTTAAACCCTTAGTGAAATAAAGCTTGGCCAAGCTTCAACAACATCTCAAAACCAGATTACTGTAGCATAGCATAGCATGCAGTGCATCCTGTTAGCTTTGTCTTTACTCATCAGTAAACACATGAAATGATCAAAATCATCAAAAGACATACTGTTTGTTCTTTCCCAATTGTGCCAGACCTGCAAACCCTTTTACCCATGTTCATTTGAGTGTGTGTGTGTGTGTGTGTGTGTGTGGGGGGGGGGGGGGGGGGGGGGGGGGGGGGGGTTGTAGAGGTTTTAGAGCTGTTTATCCGCCAAACTGTATTTTCTTCTCTGGTCATCATGTCAAGATGAAATATGGACACTGGTTCTCAATGTCCAAAAACCAAGATCATGGCATGTGGCCCAACATATATAAATGCTTTGAGCTTCAATATCAATGAGTTTTTAGCACCATTTTAGCACCATGTTTTTCCTCCCACAGTGTTTGCGTTTGATCACTGCTACACTTTATGGAATGGAAATGTTCTTTTACCGTCGGAAAAACTGTACCGCTTGGATGCAAACTTTTGATTTCAAGTACAACACGTGCTTGTAATTCATAGATTAATAAGACATTAAACTATCAAACAGGTTATTATTTTGTTCTTAAGGTTCTGGAAAATGACATTAAGTGAAGTAAATGTGTTTGTAATTGAGAGAGGGCCAGGAAGCGGAGGGGGACCCATAAAGAGGACCAACCCCATGATGCCATTCTAAAAGAAACAGCAGTGCTTGTAGCAGATTGCTGCAAGCAATTCGATTATAATAGATTATACTTGGGGAGACGTTGCTTTGCACCATTTCCAAATGCTTGGAGGAATTGCTGCAAAGTCACTGACTTCTTCTCTCTAATTATGGTAGGTTGCAAATCACTGATAGGTGCCTACTGCCTCCTGCTTTACATTGGTTTGTAGCGTAGCTTTCCCAATCATTTTTGTTTTTTACTAGTTTTGTGTGAAGGTATATGCATATTGCTTTTCTAATTACACAGATTTTCTCTTTCTTCCCTTCAGTTCCTAGTATAACTGTAGGAGTACGTTGTTTTTGTTTGATTTAGACAGGACCTACCCTTAATATCGCCATTATTACTTCCTCTCTTCTTTATTAATATAGCTTTATGTATTTTATATGAATTTCTTCATTTTTTTTATATTTACCCTAAGGCACAATCGTTTTTTTTTGTTTTTGTTTTTTTTATCTCTAAGACCTTCTTCCAGATATAACCAGAGGTGTGTAGTAACTAGTTACCTTTACTCAGTTACATTTACTTAAATAACTTAGAAAATACTATTAGGAGTAGTTTTACAGCATCATACTTCTTACTTTTGAGTAAAAATATGATAAAGTATCACTGCTCCTACTTGAGTATAATTTCTGGCTACTCCATCCATTGTGAGTAACTTTTTTTTTGATAAAAACAAACCTATTCTACATACTGAAACTATTGATTTTGTAAGTTTTATATCTCAAAAATTTATTTTGAATAACTTCATTGCACCTAACTTTTTATTGTGTAATTACTGTGTGATATGTTTGTTTCCATGTTTTCCTTTAAACACAAGAATTTGCCTATGACTTAACATTTTGTTCAATTTTACACTATTTTGTAAAATATGAAAACAGATATTATGATTTCGGATAGTAAGTGGATACTTTGTTACTGTTACTTCAATAGTTATAGGCTACTTTTTACTTTTACTTGGGTAAAAAATATGATGACGTAGTTCTACTCTTGCTGGAGTACAATTTTTGGGCCCTATATCCACATCAGGATATACCAGTGGTGTCAAAAGTGCATACATTTGTTACTTAAGTAGAAGTATAGATACTGCAGTTTAAAAACACTATGGTAAAAGTTGAAGTATCAACTTGACTTTACTCAAGTAAAAGTGAAAAAAGTATGTGCTCCAAAAACTACTTAAAGTATAAAAGTATAAAGTAACCTTTAAAAAAACAAACAGTCAGATGCCACTATATGAATTGAAATCTCAATTTTTCGACTATCTTGAAAAATTCTTTGAGATAAGGCCAAGGATGAGGAAGGTCTCGTTGGTCTCCATCTCCCGATACGCTCTCGCCTGTTTCCAACCTTTCAGTCATTTCAACATCTTTTTCTGAATCCAACATTGTAGCATGGCATAGACAATTCATGTCTGCAGTTTGAAGAACACCTGCTTGCTTCTGATGATTTCCTTTAGCTAACCAATGAATGTCTGCGTTATATGACTCGTCCAATTACACTAGTTTTCACTAGATGTGGATGGTGCCAATGATGGGAAATAAATATTTATTAACATTAAACCGAAGCCAAGAGTAACGAGTAACGTTTGTTTTAAAAATGCAAGGAATAGAAAGTACAGATACTTGTGTGAAAATGTAATGAGCAGAAGTCAGAAGTAGGAAGAAAAATAAGTAAAGGAGTAAAGTATAGATACCTAAAAAGTGTACTTAAGTACAGTAACAAAGTATTTGTACTTCGTTGTCAACTCTGGGATATACCCATGAACCTGAATCTGTAACCAATTCAATTATATATTTTAGGATGCAAATTATTTTTTTGTCAAAAAATAAATTGCAGTATGATTATGTTTGTTGGGAACTTTTGCCATATAATGAACTATTAAAAGACTATTAAAACTGTTTTAATTCTTAAACATGAGACAGACAAAACTGTTTTTTTGTTTGGTTTCAGTGGTGTAGCTTTATTTCTTAATTTATTTATATCTCTGTAAAAATGTAGACAGTTTCCCAAGTGTTTAGGGCCCTTTCTGGGTTGGGGCCCTGGACTGATGAGGCCTGCAGGGCCTCTAGAGCAGACAAATGGTCTTCCTCTCAGGCTGGAGCAAACAGAGGGGGGGTGGAGCACATTCATCCTCATTCGGCGGCAGAAATTCAGGAGAAAAGGCTGATAGGAAACAAGAAGTGCGGAGCTCGGCCTGTGAGGGAGAAAACATCGCAGTCAGTGTTAGCAGGGCCTACAGAGAGGAGAGGACTGTTTAGGCCCGAGCTAAGAGAGCAACGAGGCGACCAAATAAAGTCACGTGATCCAAAATGGGCAGTCCTCTGACGGTGCTGAAAAAAAGCCATTTTCTGGCGCCGCTGCACAATTCTGCTCAAGTGCAAATAATTTCTCCCGGAGTCCGGCTGGGAGCGAACTTTAATGTCTGACCAGGTAGGAATAATAATAATAATAATAAACAACCGCCTCTGTTAGGTTCTCTCTCTCTCTTTTTTTTTTTTTTGTCGGGGGGCTCTTTGAGTCTCTGTCGGCGGAGGCGCACGCAGAGTTGCCCGGTGTCACATTTGAGGAGCCTCTTGTTCCAGATTCAGCTACTGTCAGTAAATTTAAGATGGCTGCTTTGTGTAGCGGTGTGATTCCGCAGCCTATCGGTGTCGGTGTTTTCCCTCTGGATGTGCAGGGCCCCCCTCCTCCGGGCCTCCTGCCTGCTCGGACTGCGGAGCTCCGGGGGAAATGGAGTCGCTCTTTGTTGGCCGAAGGGGAGCTGGGAGCTCGGTGCACAAGCTGAGGCCCCGCAGAGGGAGGGCCATTCAATAGCCTGTGTGTAGCTGTTTATAAATATCGCGGCAGTTTCGACTTGTTTTGATTCTGCTTGTTTTGGTTTTGTCCCAAGGACGAGCTCTAGACATTGTGTGCCTGTGAGCAGCGGTGTGGAGATAACCAAATCAAACGCATTTACATTTACACTGCTTCTGTTCCCCCCTCTCCCTCCCCTTTATTGCAGATCTGCCCTGATGGATAAAATGCAGCCGAACCGGGTCAAAATCACAGATCTGAACCCCCTGCTCACGTGCCCGCTGTGCGACGGCTACCTGATCGATGCTACAACCATCGTAGAGTGTCTGCACTCCTGTAAGTCCCCCCCCTCCCTGATGAAGGCATTGGCAAACATACCTGCATGCTCCACAGGTTCAGGATACCTCACAGCTTCATGCATTCATGCATACCTGCTTTAGGGCTCTATGAGGCTGATGCATCAACAGATGTGGACTTTTTTTTTTGGGTGCAAAACAAAACAAAACAAATTATTGGAAATTTGTTTCCAGTAGCAACATTTCTTAATATATATGAATAGAATTAAACTTTATTGTCATTACACTGTCACAAGTTTAAAGCAAACAAAATTAACTCTCTGCATTTAACCCATCTCCTTGGGGAGTGGGCTGCCACTGTGTGGCGCCTGGGGAGCAGTGTGGGGTTAGGGGTCTTTGCTCAGGGACTCAGAGTGGCAGTCTGTGGAAGTGGGGCTTGAACTCAGGGCCTCTAAGGCTACATTCACACTGCAGCCTAAAGGGACCCAAATCCGATTTTTTTTGCCCATATGTGATCTGGATCTGATCTTTTCATGGCTGTCTGAACAACACAGATATGATTTTTTTCCAATCCGACTCAGGCCACTTGGCTATGTGGTCCTGAATCCGATATGAATCTGATCTTTTCAAATGCAACCTGTGTCTGAACGGCCAGGTCGGATTTATCCTACCTGAACGGCATTAATACCCGACAAAGGTCACTATTCTGCGTCTTGGTACGCAGAAGCAGCAAGAGAAACAACAACCATGGCGGACGATGATGCGGAGAGCAGTATTTATGTTTAAACATCTTGGAAAGATTGAGTTTTTATGGTTTGAAAAGACCGCTAGATGCTATCATCCATGTTTACTTCAGTAAACATAGAGCATGCTGGCCTGTGATGTCATTGCGTCCTCTACTGCGCATGCGAGACACTTGCGTTCTATGACTGCAGTTTACACAGGAGATCACATACAAGGCAACGCAAAAAAAAAAATCGGATTGGATAGAGCATTAAGGCCTGCAGTGTGAAGTAGCCTAAATTCCAAGCCTAATGCCCTAACACTAGGCCACCACTTGCTGCTCTCCAGCATGTTAAAATGCTGGTATCACTAATTTTTTCCAGCGGTAATTCCAACATCAGTGGGTGTCCATTAGGGATGAGTATAGGCATAGATGTTGCGATATGATATGTATTGCGGTAGTTGGATCACGATACAATATTATCGCGATATTGCAATGTTACTATATTGCAATATTTTTTCCATCAATCAAATTTAAATGTATTGATTAAAAAAAAGCAAATGCTGTATATGTTTATCAGAAGATATTGGTCATTTAGTTATTTTTGTATCCATGTTGTTTGGGGTCTGAGTCAGTCCAAGTCTTCCACTGTGACTGCCTCAAGTACGGATATGGTGCTGCGCCGCACAGCAAAAAGGCTGCAAAGCGTCACCTGCCAGAGCAGTGGTGCAGAGGTAGCCCATTTTCCCTCATAGTTTTAGGTAAAAATGTTTTGTTTTTAAAAAATCAATACTAGGAACTGAAAGATCGATATTACATCTGGGAGCCGAAAATCACAATATATCACCAAAGCAATTTTTTTGCCGCACCCCCAGTGTCTTTTTGCATGTCCTATGTCTGTTTTTGTTATTTACCATAAATAAATAAATTACTTCATGAAGGCAGCATAAATGACAAACTTCTTACAAACTTAACGCCCTTTATTGCTAATGTCATGTGTTAGATTATACAGTAAACATATATAGCTCTGCCATTACATATATAGTAATGCTCAGGAAGCTATGTGAGGTTAAGGGTCAGGGAGTCAGCCAGAGTGGCAGGCTGTGGAAGTGGGGCTCGAACTCAGAACCTGAGGAATTCAAGCGCAATGTCCTAACCGCTTGGCTCCTTCTAGTTTCCCATTTAAATGTAGAGAAATTTAAGTTTTTCTTTAAAAAAATTAAAACTTCTCTGTTTATAAATTATTATTTTTCATTACTATAGAATGGACAACGGAGTTGGCCCTGGCATCTACTACAAACACAACAGGATAGAATGTTTAACAGCACAGTACTCATCATTTAGAATCGTTTCACCAAGCTTTTTAACTGTTATTCCACTGTCACAAGTACAGAGCAATGAAATGAAATCTGCATTTATCCCATTCCTTTGGGGAGCAGTGGGCTGCCATCATGGGGCACTCAGGGAGCAGTGTGGGATTAAGCGTCTTTGTTCAGGGACCTTTGGGTCTTTGCTGTGTAAACTGGGGTTCTTACTACATAGAGTTTGCATGTTCTCATCCTGGGACACCTTTAATAAATAAGAATATTTATAAAACCTGGTTTCCTATCAATATGTTTTATTTGATGCTTCTGTTTTATTAGTAAAGAGGTGATCAAGAAAGAAAATAATTTGTAAGAAAAAGACTGTTTATTGTAACAGAAGTTGCATATAAAGGCCAGAACACACAGAATCAGATTTTGCATCTGATCTGACAGAAAATTTTGTCGGATGAGGTTGTGGCATTTAGGGCTCATTGAAAGTCAATGGGGATGATCACAACTGACACGATTTTAAGCAAGGGGGCTTGCGTAGCTCCGACTGAGATATACCCAGGTCTATTTTAGTCAGACTATGCAGCAATTAAGCTGCAATTTCATGGGTCTGACGGGAAGAGAGATGCGTTTACTAAGTAAAACCCACCCGCTTTGGTGGAAAATATAAAATTAAAATCTGTTAATCACACAGGGATAGAGTCAGTTTTGGAGTTGCATAGAGCATACACAGCAAGTGGGATAGACTCGTGCAAAAACAATTAATGAAACATAAAAAAAAAAAGAATACTTTACCTATAACAGGAATTCAGGAGAAAAAGAAAACGTATCCTGCGTGAGCCTCGCATAAACGAGGGACGAAAAGTGTAGGTTATTAATCTCCTTCAAAAAAAAAAATAACTTCAGGAGGACAAAAAAAAAATGGGTAAAATAGTGATCCTCTTTGTGCCTTACAAAAAACAAAGGGCAGACAGAGCAGTTAAGCCTCGCCTGTTTCTCTCAACTCTCTGGGGGGAATAAAATAAAAACTCAGATAAACTTCCCAGATCTCTCTCTAAGAATCACCTCATTGCCTCAGTCAGCATATAAACCATCCCACGGCATTTATTGCTGTGTTTTTCTTTTCTTCAGATGTAGATCTCACTATGTTTTTAATATATGAGCATTCTCTATCTGATCTGGTTGGAGATGCTGCACATACTCAAAGTGGGGTTTTGCTTTTCTTTCTTTTCTTGTAATAACTTTTCATAATCTGTCCAAGTCAAATATGGGGAAATCGTTATAATTTGTGTATACCAGAGAGACAGAAGTGGGAAAAAAATCTGTACAGATCGTATCACCCTGCCTAGTCGTAGTCTCACCGTACGCAGTCGGTGTACCACCGAAAAAAATTGGATCGGAGATTAAAAAGTCGTACGCAATTGGTTGTAGTCTGGCCTTCAAGTGATGCAGCAAACAATGCGTCAACTGTGTCCTATGCACACGGCAATAATGGCACAGATATGTTTACTGTATAATCTAACACATGACATTAGCGACAAAGGGCACTCCGTTTGTGAGAAGTTTGAAATTTTTGCTGCCAAAACAGACATCGAAGATGCAAACGGACACACACTGATGTTGGAATTTCTACTGGAAAAAATTAGTGATACCAGCATTTCAACATGCTGGAGAGCAGCAAGTGGTGGCCTAGTGTTAGGGCAGTAGGCTTGGAATTTAGAGGTTCTGAGTTAAAGCCCCACTCCCACAGACTGCCACTCTGGGTCCCTGAGCAAAGACCCTTAACCCCTCACTGCTCCCTGGGCGCCACACGATGGCAGCCCACTGCTCCCCAAAGGAATGGGTTAAATGCAGAGATTTCATTTCATTGCTCTGTACTTGTGACGGTAAAACGCTGGGGGAAACGATTCGAAATTATGAGTACTGTGCTGTTAAACATTCTCTCCTGTTGTGTTTGTAGCCTACACAATGCTGTCACATATATATTTTAATTAATTTTTATGTCACCTTTTAAACTTATGTTTTCAAAATGACCGTTATTGTTTGATTTTGAGTCAGCCGATGCATTTGATGCATCCTCCTCTTCCTGTAGCAGATGAATTGGGAAGTAGCAGGCCAAACTGACCACACCAAACCAAAACACTGCATATTTGCATAATAGCACCATACGTATTTTAATCCTCTAAACATCCTTTTCAATGCATTTTTTGCATTGATGAGGATGAGTTTTGTTTCTCCCAGACTGTTTACATTTGATCACTGCTGCACTTTAAGAAATGGAAATGTCATGAAAGTTGTACAAACACAGAGTATATATAAAATAACATAAAAGTTGTCTAAGTCTAAGGATAATCTAATGATCCAACATGTTTCTCCTCTCTACCACAACAGAAGCACTTGAACTCAATGCACTGGTAATTTCCACTTTAAAAGTTGAGAGGATCTTCTTTACCATGCCACATGAAGGCAGCATAAGAGTTATTTACATGTATAGTAAATATTAAATAAGAGTGTGCACTAAATGCAAACACTTACTAAAATTCTGAGTTGTTTTTCCTTCTGTTTTCTAAATTTTTAGTTGTGCTACTGCAGTAAAGAATGCTTTTATGTTGGCTTTTTATACATCGTAACCAATAGCAACAAATCACAAAATCAAAACTACAGAACAATAGAATATAGTTAGAATCATAGAATCATTTTTTATTCCACCGACAATAAAAATAAAAATAAAAAACTCCTGAGCATCTTCAAAAATCATGATGAAGAGCTTAAGCTCTGCCTATAAATATCTAGATCTTATCTCAACTTAGAGTTATGGCACATTATGTTAAGTTTTGGGCAGTGTTGTTTTCATCGATGGTGACGAAGTTATTTCATTGACCCTCATGACTATAACGAAGAAACTGGTGAGCTAAAAATGGAACCTTGATGGCGAAAACAGAATGAGTCACTGGTGTGACTTTTTGTTGACGAGTCTAAAAGAAATATATTAGCAGGTGGTCGGTCAGAAGTTTAAAATGAATCGTGTGCTGTAATCTGTTAGTCAAGCTGAGCAGTATCAGCCATGCTGCTGTGTCCTGTTTAGTCATACTAATAGTCTGCATGACCACAGATGGATCATGGCAGCAGCGGCAGGGGATAAAATAACCCTGGATCATCCGGTACTGCGCGCTCGACTCTAACAAATTCTGCTTTTCTAGCTGTGCTTGTGCAGAAATGCATCTTTGCGGCGATTAGCTCAGAGTCTGCGCTTCACGCTCCACACTGATGGTTCGCTCTCAGCAGTATGGCTCTTCATGCCCTCGTTCCTTAATAAACTATATGTGGCTGATCATCCGTCATATCAACATTTTATTGCTTCCAGCTCACAAGAGATGATGCAAAGCCTACCTTTAGACTTTAGACAGATTTTATTTGTCATTTTGTTTACACAAGTGTAAAGCAACAAGAAATTTCATTTGGAAACAGCTCACTGGACAATTTCATCTTTTAAAAGTGCAGCCTTAAAGATAATAAAAATGACTGTAAATTTGCAGTTCTAACAATTTTTATATTTATTTTTAACCTATATGAATCCCTAAAATATATCCAAAGCAAATATTTAATTGCATACTGTTTATTTTTGGATAAAGATAAAAAGGTACATAGATCTTTGAATATTTCTCTCTCAATAGTTCTTGTCTCTATTTGAATATCAACATTTCAGTTAACATGTCATTATAAGGCAATTATGTAACTTCTCTTTGTACTTTTTATTTGATTGTATATCAGACCCCTATGAATTAAAATCTACTTTGACCCTTGAGCAGCAGTAACCAAGGGGTAAATTCTTAGAAATAAATCCAAAATTGCCAAAGTAGGAAGAAGAATGTTTTTGGTTCTTTGCTTTTTTGGAGCACAGAAGATGTTATTGATCTGTGTGTAATGCATGATTCATAGTAGACAAGGGAGTGTCTGCTTTGCCTTGTATGTCTAAAACCATTCCTTTATTGTACATTTTGTTAGCCTGTCTGTCTGCTATATTAACCAATAGATGTGTTGAACTAGATCTGCTATTTTCACAACTTTAGTCAGACACTTTTTTTATGAAGTAGGGCATTAATTCATAAAAAAAAGTTTATTTTAATTCTAGAAATCAGTTTTCTTTCATTGCCCATTACCCATTTTTTCATTGCCCAACAGCAATGATGAACTCCACAGCAGCATTGTATCTCTAGCAAGTCAGGTTCTGTTTTATTTCTGCTGCCTCAAAGGTTTACATTTATTTTCTTTTTCTATTTCTTCTGATTTCTATAGGCTTTGGTTCCACAGAACCAGATTTGTTGTAATTCTCATCTTTGATCAACAGGGAAATCATTCAAAGGATTTGCGGAAAATATATGATTGAAAATCTTTCTCTTAAAAATCCATGAAAACAAAATATAATTTCATAGTGATCAGATATTTATATGTGTATCCAAGAGATTTTGTGACGTTTCACAGCTCTGCAGTAAACCACTTTTTAACTGATATAAACAAAAAAAAACACCCAGGATTATTTTTATGTTTCCAGTTGGAAATGCTAAAAAAACAAGCTGAAGTCTACATTCGGACAGACAAACTACTCAAACAACTCTGAGTTCTGTATCCAATATGGCCACACATGTATAGCATGTTCCCAGTTGAAGCTATAAACAAAATTCTTCTGATTGTGTGTGTCCCAGTAAACCAGTGGCACAAATATCTGTTCTTGAATACGCTGCGTTTCTGTTTAAATGCACGTTATTCTTATTAGGTCATGTTGAGCCGTTACTATTCCAACATCAGTGGGTGTCCGTTTGCATTGATGCAGTCTGTTTTGTTATTTACCTTAAATAAATTAATTACCATTAGCGTGTTAGCCCAGTTAGGGTTACTAAATCTAAACTAACTCCCTGTTAGCGGCCGACTTGCCTCTGCAGAAAATACAGATTTTATTAATGGACATTTTTCTGTCTCTGCAATTCTCTGATTGTCTTTCCTCAACTTTCACACTGAAGAGTGTTGTTGTTCTTCCTGCAGTGGTTGTACTAACGCTGATCCGACATCAAACTGCTCAGTCTTCTTTGAAATACAAGACAGATCATAAACGTGAAGCCTTGTCTATTCTGATTCATTAACGACAAGTTTTTTGTCCTTTTTTCTTTTTTTTTTAGTTTGTAAAACTTGCATTGTTGCCTTTCTTGAGACAAATCAGTTCTGTCCTCGCTGTGAGGTCCAAGTGCACAAGACATGTCCACAGCTCAGCATCAGGTAAACAAGTGTTTTTTTTGCCATTGTTTTTTTTTTTCTCATTTAAACCATAAATATTTATATGACAGAATTATCTGATTGAACTTTATCGTGTTTCCAGAGCGGACAAAACTCTGCAAGATATAGTTTATAAGCTGGTTCCAGGGCTGTTCAAAGGTAAGGCTGTTTAATGTGAAAGCAGATAGCGGACTTGCTCGTCTGTCACGGCTGTTTATAGGTGCGTTTCTTTACTGAAACCCAGATGAGATGAAAAGGAGGAGAGACTTCTACGCGGAGAACCGGGAGCTGGAACCGGGCGAGGTGGTGGAGACGTTTAACATAGCAGAAGACGAAATCATCAGTCTGTCCATACAGTTCTACCAGAGGAACAGGTGAGTGAGAGATTTATACTTTTTGGGTTTTTCTTTTGATTGAAAGATGAGCATAATGATTGGGACTCATGACTTTTAAAGGTGATGATGGGTAAAATGAGTAAACAGTATTATCTGCTTATGCATGAATAGTTGCAGCTCTGTCTGTCTGATTTTATATGTAAAAACATTATTAGGTGCAGGGTTACTAAAGTATGAGATGTATGACTTTCCATGTCTGGTTAGGTGTACAGATAGAATTTATAACGGAAATTGTTTTATTTTTCATATTTTATCCTTCTATTTTCTGAAGGAGGGAAAAATCTAATGTGTAATAAATGCAGTAAGTTTTACATTAAGATCTTTATCAATTTATTCCACCAACCACATCACAGATAATTCCACCTTGTTTGTTTTGGTTTTTAACTTAGTTACTTAGTTACTAAAAACTCATTTAGAAATTGAAAATGATTATTTCCCTTCAAATTATAGTTGTTTATCAATAAAAAATTTATTTTAACCATTATTTCTATTCGTCGACAGGAGCAACGAAAGGCAGCGATCGGAGATCGAAGGAGACAAGGTACAGGTGGTTGCTGGCGCGTAATTAAATCATTTTAATCCAATCTTCTGCTCTTCATCCTGTTAATGTCCCTCGTCTGTACTGCTCTTTGATCCCAGTCCAACGGGAAACGCTTCCTTCAGTGCCCAGCAGCTATGTCCATCACACACTTGGCAAAGTTCCTCCGCAGCAAGATGGACATCCCAAACAATTACCGGGTAACTGGGCACACACACAATAATCTGAACTGTTTTCATTCTGCAGAATCAGAAAAAAGGGGTTAGTGCTTCCATCTCTCTTCTCTTTTTTTCCATCTGTGTGTTTGCAGTATTTTTTCCTATTTGCCTTTTTCAAAAAGAATTTCCCCATTTAAATTAGCATTTCAAGAAGGCAAAGAAACTTTCAGGAGAACAGTGTGAGATTTTCAGTGCTGGATTTGGTAGAAAACACCATAGTTTCCTGATATTTATGTTGAAAAAATGAAAATATTAGAATAGGGCTATGGAATACATTCTCAAATTATTTTTATGGCATTATCACATTTCACAATCTGAATATGGTTAATAAAAAACAACCTGGATTGGAACTGATGTTAGATTATTATTCACGGACCATACGTTAAATTAAATTAAATTAAACCTGTCCAGTTTGTGCTCATTGATCATTGCAGCGCTCCAACTGCTTGTCTAGTGTGAACAACCAGAACTGACAATAGATCCTGGATGTCTCCTGCACAGGTCTGCCCAAAACTATCTATTTATCACCAAAGCCTGAATTAAATGAGAGAGTCTTCTTTTAATAGACGTTCTTAAACCCTCTTTTGAATTCAGAAGTTTGCATGCATTTCCTTTACAAAAGTGTCTGATTCAGGTCAAATCTTGTGGGTCATTCTGCAAGATTCTCACAAAAGTTGATGAATATTTCAATCCGTTTAAGCTGAGCCAGGTTTGATGATTTCCCCCTTTCCCCCCTAGTTTTGTCAGTTGCAAGTTTGGCATATGTGAGAGTATTTGCAAACCGATTTTTGTGATGCTTTTTGAGTAACTGTTCCTTCGATGCTGATGGTCTCTCAGGTAATCTTAGTACACGACTCGTTCACTTTAGCATTCCTATCAGCCCCAAGGAGCATCCTCTCAACAGTGGCTGAAATTCACTTTAGAAATTAAGGGGGAAAATCCCCCTTATATGCTTGAGAGTGGGGGGGTTTATACATTCATACATTCGAGGGATTGGTTAATGAATAAAAGTCATAATGTTGTTGTGCTTAATATGTCTGCTGGTGAAGATTCTCGGTCATCCAGGTCATAGTCATTCCAAAAAAGTGAAAAAACAATCCACTGGACTTTGAGTTTGAAGATGTTTCGCTTCCCATCCAGGAAGCTTTTTCAATTCAAAATGTCAGAAATAGCGTTGAGTTTGAGGCTTTATAGAGTGGACCAAAAACAATATGTCGCTTTCATTTTCCACCCTTCATCTTCTTAGCTGTTGTTTAAGCTGTTCTCTCTTGCCCTTTCCCTTGCTTGATCTTTTTTTCTCACTTAACTGTGGGGTTAAACGAAGAACATATTTTTTAGGATGGAAAACCTTCCAGGATTAAAACTTTTAAGGTTACCTATGCAGCTTAATCGATGCATATAAATGCAAAATTTTGCTTTGGCCATTTTGTTTTCTGCTTTGGCTGGTAAAGGTTACAGGACTGTACATTTTACAGATGGAGCAGCTCATTTCGCCCAGGGATGTCGTTAATTTTCCCATTTGAGCCAGTTAGGCTGAAACGTATCTTTCGGCTGCTCTGTGATATTGACCTGTTGGAGGATCGGCGTTATCTGGGTCCCTGGTCCAGCATCACTTTTGAATTGTGTTGTTTTTTAAGAAGTTTGTTCCTCTGTGATACAACATTATATTTGCGTTTTAGCCAGCGATCCACATTTGGAATATTTTAAAGGTTGAAGAAGAGTGCATACTAGTGAGTAGCGGAGATGTTCTTCATCTAAATCTGAAAACGTCCACATTAGTAGCTACACATCATGTGATTTTTTTTAAAGAGGGAATTTACCACATTATAAGAACCAGCTTTGCAGGGATGGATCACATAATTCGCTAATATCACTATCCTGCAGTGAATTTCAGGCCCTGCTCTCAAGATCCTTTGCTATAGTTATGGACTTGATTCAAGCTTTTAACACACAGAACCTTTATCCTTCCTGAACCATGTAGCTGGACATCTACATTTAGAATTTAGCAAATAGAAATAAATATCGTCTCCAAAACTGACCTAAAACAGAACAAAAATTCAATCTGATTAGAGACCTTTGTGGAAGAAATGTCTCGTTACATATTGATATGCATGTGTGTAAAAACAATTGATTAAATACTGTTGAAATAAACCACTGAAATGAGAAACATGTTTAATATCTGCATTTAAAAACACAATTTCTCGCCGTTATTTTGCCATCATTTTAGAGCTGAAACAATTAATTTCATTAATTGTGATTAATCTATAGTCGTTTATAGCAGCCAAGGGTCTGACGCGGAAAGGGAACCTTGGCAAATAAACTGCGACAGACAACACAGAGCGGTGAAGAAGTGGACTATTTCAGTCACTATCAGAGATCAACAAAGCAGAGTCTGATGAAGAACGTCAGCTGTCATCAGATAGCAGAGAACAGGTTTAGGGCGCAGCTCTGTACGCGTTGGAGCCACTGGCAGAGCAGCATGTAGGAGTAGCAGAAGAAACGACGAATGATCTTTTAGGCTTAAAGACACATTTATTTCAGAATCTGCAGTGATGCATGTGATTCAATGTGCCCTAAACATTTATGTTTCAGTCCTGTGTGGTTTAATGCAGGCTATGAACAGAACTCATTTCCTTCTGAGTTTCTATCATTTTGTAATAAAACAAACATGATTGGTGTTAAGAACTGATCTCTTATTTTCATCATACTTAGTTCAGAATTTTCTATCAATTAGTACCGATTTTTAAGATTACTCTCTGCTCTGCCTGATCTGTCTGGTGATAGCCTTTTATTCACATTAGATGATACTAGATGCATGGAAATAGCATCTCTCTTTAAGGTCCCATCAGCCTTTCCGGGACCAGCCCAGCTGTGGACTGCCCTGTCAGTTTTACAGCTACGTTCCAGGCAGCTCCAATTCTCTCCACTCCACAAATATAGTTTTTTTGTGCAACCTGCTTTCCACCTCAACTGTGTATGAATGATGTTGGTACACTGATTGACTCTTGTCTTCCCTTTGTGTGCCACTTCCTGTCGACTTTTGACTGTCAAATGAAAATAGGCCCATTTTGGGTCATAATTGTCTTTTATTACATCTTTTATTACATCTCAAGTCGGATGCTGCCCAGCTTTGCAACATTAATATCCCTTTCTTCCATTTTTCTTCTCACAACTTTAACTGCTTGAAAATGGAGCAGTTTTACAGCACTAAATATTTCCCTGTGTGCATTGAATTACCTGGCCCTACTTCTGGTAGAGCTGAAGGATTGTTCCTTCATGCAGCTGTTCACAGGTATGCTAGCCTGGCTAGATGGATTGACTTAAGCTGTAAACATGGCGTATCAGTCTGGACCAGGGGGGGTTGGAACAAACCGGACTACTACTAACTACTGCTGTGACTCAAATGTCTTTTTCCATAAACCAGTTGTTGAGGTTTTAAAGATGTATTCAATTCATCTAGGACATAATGAAGGGCATAGATAAAACGTTGCTACGCTGCGATGGAGTGTAGGAGTGTACTGAATACACATAGCTTCAGTTGGCTGTCTTCAGCATTAGGTGGGGAAAGGGCAAATTGGCCGATACAGATATTGAACCAGTACGTATTAGCAGTAATCATTGCTCCTTTTATTATATGTTTTACACTGTAGAATGTTAGATAAGACTTCATAAAGCCATATTACTGAAACGGGGAACAAAAGTCAACAACAAAAGGTATGAAAACAACTGACCCATGTCAAATTAAGGAGTAGCAGAAACCTTTAATAGAAACAGAGTGATTCTTTCAGCATTAAAATATCGGATACTCTGCAGATACTCTATCACTTTTTTGGCTAATGTCCAAATGTTATCCCTACTTGCAGCTAAAGTGTTTTAGGTTCTCCCACTTTCCATTTAAATTCTGATCAAAGTATTTTACTCTCATTGTATTTGGATGAGGATTTGCTTGCTGTCTAAATAGTCTGATTGGCGGTGAGATCAACTGGTAAGGACAGATACTTCAGACTGTTAAAGCCCTTGTCACACCATGACGATTCAGCTAGCGTATGCCTGATGTATGAAAAATCGGGCAAAAACGCTGGCACACGTTGGAAAAGTTAGGGGTACGTTTTGTATAAGTTATGAGCACGCTGAAACGCGCCGGCACACGTCGACATACGGCAAGTATGTACGCTATGTATGCTCGTTCGTGGGCAATAAGTAACAGGTAAGTTATTTGATTGTTGACATACGTTTAGCAAAATTACTCATAAGTCGTGGCGTCTAGCTTATCCAAAACCTATGAGTAACTTATGCGTAACTTATCAAGAACTAATCTCCAACGCATATCAACGTATTTGATGTGTTCCAGACGACGGCTGAACGTGTTTCTAACTTGCAGCTACCGTATAATGGCGTATTGCAAGCATTTTGGGATAAAAGGGAGTTCTCAGTAGGGAAACAGTCAGTACTCCTCCAGACTTCATCCACATCATAGGGTGAGGTGAGTGTGATGGAACCTCCCTTCATCCACGACCAACAAACGTCCTAGCAGACATGACGCTGAATCTGCTGTGACTGCAAACTCTCTTTCTTTCTTTTTATTTACTTTTTTTTTTTGGGTGAGCGGTAAACAGCAGCTAGGTTAATATTGCGATCAAATAAATCTTTTTATGCAGGCCGAGCGCCTCCAGGCGCATTGCTGCCCCCCTCAGGACACTGGATTGTGACATTTCATGGGGATGGCGCTTCTGTGCGTTATGCATAAATTACCCTGTTGATGGACAGGAGTTCTGGACTTGTTATGAATACGCTATGCATGCATTCAGCGTATGCCACCGTTTTAGGAGTTTCTGGGGCGTCAGGCACGCGCTGGGTAAATTGTCAAGGTGTGACAGGGCCCTAAGGACCTGTGCTGCGGGGAGATTCGGATTAATGTGCAGCAAAGTGACCAAGTCCAAGCAGATTCAGATTTGGTTTTCTCTGAACTGGCAACAGCCTTGCAGGAGGTGCATATTTCTTTCCTAAGGAGAAAACAACCATATTCTTATCTAATCAGCACATTATAAACTATCATACATTAATTAGTTAGTGGAATATTTCAAGCATTAATTTTATTGTCATTAGGAAGATTTTTTTTTTTCTTATGCATGAGCATAAGAAAAAAAAAATCAGTGTCTCAGATAAATGAAAACATTTTAAGAAAGAGCTTTTCAACTATTGGAAACTGATGGTGTCACACCCCGATTAACTAATTACTCAAATAAATGTGCCTAGACCTCAAAAGGGAATACATACTTTTGTCCACAAAACTCTTATGTATTTATAATAAATTTGATGTTAGCAGAGCCCACAGAGCACTGACCTAGCCCTACTGTGAGTGCCTATCAGAAAGCTGACTTCAGCAACTTGTTTTATGACCAACACACATTGAAATGGTAGTTGGCTCGGAGCTCGTCTGCCTGGCTGTGTGTTTCCCGGATGGGGCCGCCTTTTACAGCTGCTTTTTCTATCTCTGCTTCTGTCTCCTTGAACTCTAGTCGGCCTCGGCAGATGGTCGCTCACACTGAGCCTGGTTCTGCTGGAGGTTTCTTCCTGTTAAAAGGGAGTTGTTCCTCTCCACTGTCACTACAAGCATGCTTGGTGTGAGGGATTGCTTTCGAGTCGATGAGTCGATGCAATTAACTGGTTTTCCTTAGATAGAAAACTTTGAATCAATTGGACTTTATGATCTGGTTGAACTGCAAAGGGCCTTGAGATGACGTGTTGTGAATTGGTGCTATATGAAGTTGAATTGAATAGAATTTTCCTACATTTTTTCATAAACTTCTGTGAAAGAAAAAGAAAATCTAGAAATGTGTGTCTTGATAAGTATTGAGTTTTGAAAGGGAGAATTTTTTTGTCAGTTTATAAAAAATAAAAAAAACCCAGCCTGTTTTGTACTATTAAGCTCTGTTAGTGTTGAGATTGTTATGTTGCACCACTGTGTGTTACAGGTGGAGGTGTTGTATGGGGACGAGCCATTAAAGGACTATTACACACTAATGGACATCGCCTACTTCTACGAGTGGAGAAGAGTAAGTGACATGGTGCCCTTAAGACGCAGCTGAGGATTGTTCCAAATGTGAACATCTGCTAAATTAATATCGATATATACTGTGATCAAAAAACCTGATCAACATCATTCTAAATTATGTGGGATAAAAATTTCAGTAGTTTCATTCAAGTCTGACCCAGAAACAAATGGTTTTTCAGGAGTTTAGTCAGTGGAGACGAAGAAGCTCTTACTGCCAACCTAAGCAAGGTCTGTGGTAGTGCTGAGCTCTCCTTAGGGTTACAGGTTATGTTTAAATATCTTTAGGGTTATATCTAAAGGGGTCATAGAATGATTATATAGGGTATTTGGTGCTGGGTGTGTAACATTGGTTGGGCTGAAAATGGCATATTTGAAGTTCTATGAGCTGCCGGCGTCGGCAGACCCTTTACACAGGGGCACGTGCCCCGTTGTGGATCTGTGGTGCCTGGGTATGCCTGGGGCACTGATCTTTTAATTCATTAATTTATTTACGCCTTTAAAAAAGTAATAGTTTAAGTCTGACTCTCTGGCATATCGGGGAAATCTACAGAATGCAGGCTTGCATTTTTTTTCTTAAAATAGGCCTATAGACACTTTAGTTAGGATTTAAGTCTGACAGAACGGTCAGATTCCACCAGCCAGTATCGGCCACTCGGAGCAATTAGCAGCCCGAGAGTCGCCTGTAACACAGAGCCAGGAGTTGGTCATATTTTAATCATTAAGAAACGGTAGTCCTAGTAAAGACACACCGATTAAAACATTGATTGCATAACCTAAATGATAACCGGATGGGAAAAAATGCCAGATGAGGCAAGAGAAAAATCCTCAGGAGAGATTAGAAGTGAGCAATGGATGCAGAAACTATGCCATGTAACGCCAGGTCCGCTCAGACTTTAAAATACGCAGCACAGGTGGATGAGCTGCCCTGCCTCACCAGTTCAACAGTCGCTCGTCCAGCTCTGTGCTGAGAGGAGAGAGAGGAGAGCCGAGGAGAAACAGGGCGGATAACGCCCTCTTCTTGACAGAAATGAATTAAAAACTGCTCAAATAAGACCTTTGTGAGTTTATCATTATTCCCGATTACTATTTAGTAAACAATGTATGAATCCTGTTGGGCAGAAACTTAATTAAGATCATAATTCAGGTAATCAGACTCAGCATCTGATTACCTGAATTATGAGGAGCACAATGGGACAAGACACTCTTCACCATATTGCCATAATGTCGGTTGAGAGAGGAGAACTCTCCAAATTAACCCTTTAAAGCCTGATCCAAGAATGAAACAAAACAGAAAATTACTTTTTTTTTGGTTTGAAGTCCTTATTTGGCCTTTTAACAAAATATGTAAAAAGCAAAAACAGAAATACATTTTTGATATTAATAATTTATTACTATGCGATAAGTCAAGATTATTTTTTGTGTAGTCTTCTGCCCTCTGTTATCAGGTATATCTGATGGTGTACAATAGGATTTTGAGAAGTTTTTACCATTAAATTATGCAAAAGTTGTCAGACGCAAAACATTTCAGAAACCGTATGTATCAAATATGATACATTTGGCATTACAGGGTTAAACCAGCCACGATTGATCGACAGCTTCGCAAAAATGAAGCTGAGATGCTACCATTTACTGTTAAAAAAAAAATGAACATCCAGCTCTCCCATCTTTGTGGCCATGATATACACGCCTCATAGGATCAGCACCATCACACCATGATAGGATGGGCCCAAATAGACATGATAAACACAGACATGTATCTATGTAGAGGCATTTTTTTTGTTTTTCCTTTTACAGTTGCACATTTCAAGTTCATGTTTGCTGACAGATATTTAATGAAGATAAATTGTGCCCTCATCAGTAGTAAATTAGATATATACGGTTAAGTTCACAAGTGGGCCAATTCAATTCCATTTTGTTCAGGTAGATATTTAATGATTCAGAAAATAACAATCTGATTGTACAATTTATTTATGACGCTTTCTAATAATACATAAGTTCTATAAAATATTTGCTCGGTGCTTGCATTAATTACCTGTGCCCATGCTTTTTAAAAATAAATAATTGCACAAAAAATGTTTTACTGGCACGCTTTCTGCGCTCGTATTTTCTTTAGTGCCGTATTGTGCCCTAGTATAGTATTTGGTCAACTGATGCCCCTGCAATGAGCCCTAATGCAAGCCTGGTTAAAAGCCCTAGAATGAAACGACAAGTTTTCTTCCTTTTATGGTATAGTCATGAATATTTAGATGAACTGTGCACTGTGCACTTCCATAGAGAACAAACTGCAGAGACAAAGTGGGTCAGGAGGTAGAGGTTTGTCCTCAGCACTGCCTGTCCTAAATGTTTTAGATGCGTTTTCTGTATTATTGGATTGCATTACCTCCTCCAGGCCATTGAGGGCTATAAACGCCTGATAATCACCCATTTATACCAGCAGGGAAATGTAAAAAAAAAAAAAAATCAGGATAGGTGGTCCTAAGAATATGGTTGACTTATGGTTTACATTACTTTTTTCTTTTTTTTCCTTGGGGGGGTTGTCCAGTCAAAGTGCCAAGCCTTATATTACTGAGAATTGTTTGGGAGGCTAAAATGTTGTGAATAATTATTCTCTGAATGTATAAGGTGTTTTAATACCTCAAATAATGTCCAGCTGCAGTTTTAGCATAAACTGGTTCTGAATCAAGGTGGATAAATTTGGACTCATCCTGCAATTCTTTAACAAAAAAATTTGAATAAAATATGAAAACTATGTTTTCCCTTTTCTATTTTGAGAGGAAAGTGACAGAAAATCCCATTGATAGCTTCTTATTTATGAAATTCTGGTAATGAGACCAGTTTGCATAAAATTTGCTAACTGTTGCAAGAGACCAAGATTTGTGCCCTTTTAAATTTGGTTTTGAGTCTTATTATTATCATAATTATCAACTGTATCTTCTTGTACATATTTCCACACAGACCGGACCCATTCCCTTGCAGTACCTGGTCAAACCCGCCCGGAAACGCAGGAGGCCTTCGCAGACCGCCGCCCAAGCCAAATCTGATGGTACCAGCCCCGCGTCGGAAAGTGACTCTCATAGCGACAAACTCCACAATCCTGCAGCACCACAGCCTCCCAGAGCCCCTTCCCAGACAAGCCCCTCCTCCCACAACGTTTCCGCCGCCCTCCAAAGCCCCAACGGCACCGCTGCGCCCAGCAGCACTCAGCGACATGCCCTCGCCCCCAAGCAGGCCTCCGGCAGCCGGAAAGTGACTGTCAACGGCACGAGCTCCACCGCCGGCAAAGAGGAGGCGCGGGGAGGCGACAAAAGCGGTGCGCCCCCGACGACCTAACACCTACAGGGGTAACGCAGGGGAGGACAGTGATCTTTAAACTGCTCCCTTTAATTTCCTCATGGAGCCGACGGAGGCTCCAGCTTTTATCCCTCCGGACGGGCAGGAGGCGGATCAGCGGGAAAGACCGAGACGTGCAGCCAAATAGACTCTCGTATGTATGTGCGTGTTTTTGTGGTAGACTAGAGCCGTGCACACATACAAACTGTACAGTATGTATCTAATGTCAGCATGTGTGCATACATATGTATAAACTTATCTTTTATACAAGATATCGTAACCGTTTTTGTATTGTAAACGCAGTGGGTCCGTTTCATTTCAACTTCTGCCGCAGAATCATCAACGCTTCTTGTGGTGCCAGTCGCCGCGTTCAGTTGAATGTCGAAGGAAGAAAATAAAAATAAAAAACGGTTAAAAGAGTTTCTCTGAAAGCGTCCGAATAATAAGCAGCACCTCTTCAGGTTGCATGTACATTTATGGAAAACAGTTGATGCACTTTTTATGTGAAGGTCCCCCGCCGGTTATTCCTCTCAGCTGGAGAGATTTTCAGCTGTATTATCACACTCGAGTCCAAGCACTACCAAGCTGGCGGGTGAGGTGTCCGTCAGCCTTTGTCTATAGAACCGGGAGAATAAGAAGGGATTTTGGAAATGTTTTGCCATGTATGTTGTTCCGTACATTTCAGCATTCCCGTTCCGTTGCTTTTCAACAGATTCGTTTTTGAAATCAGCCATATGTGCATGTTGTAGGTCAATAAAATGTTTACTTACTAGGTTTTCCTGACCTGAGCCTCCTGTTTTCTAAATATCTCTTTTCATCCAGAGGAAATATCTGACTTAGCTGGTTCATATATGTTACATACTTTTCATCCACTCCTATTGGGTATTTTTTATTTATTTTATAGGTTTTGTTTTGTGTTTCCAGAGTCGGGGGGGTTGTGTAACAAAACTAAAATTGAGCTACTTTTGTTTAACCCTCTATGGCATGAATTTTTATTTTATGAGGAAAAAAATATTTCACCCTAGTTTTGGGAGCTTGAGGGGGTCTTTATAAAATATCAATCAGAAAATGTGCTCCACCCTGCCCCCCCCACCAGATTTTGGTTTGTTGTCTCAGGGCAACAATATGCTATGAGGGTACTAAAACGCCAAGGTTTTCTTTAAGTGGAATGATGAACAAACAAGCAATAAATACATTAGAAGAAGTTTTATTTCAATTTCAACAAGTTTCCTTTCAACAAACGGCCACAAATGGTTTATTAATTAGTGCATTAGAGATTAGCTGCAGTGTGTTTATGTTTCTAAATACATGTTCCTGTGGGGTACTGAATGGCTCTGTGTTTCTCTTTTTTACAAAGTACAGTTTGTATTATTCTGTATGGAACCTCATGAAGCAGTTGCTGTTGGATGTGAAACAAAGGTGGGCGTCACATTTTTGGCACTTGGCTTTAGGTGTACCTGTGCATCTTGGTACCTTGCATCTCCCTTTCTTTTCATCCACAGACTCATTGTCATCAGGCAGGTCATCTGTTTAAAAAAAAAACCAGTAAGCATAAAATTAGAATAGGTCATATATACCTCTCTTTACTCACTGATGTACAAACGCACATACATGCTCATTCCATACAGTATGTTACTCTACTGACTGAACCATGATCTCCCAACTCTCCCTCAAACCTGATTTTGGAGTCCACTCTTCGTCACTGTCACTCTCTTCAAGCTCACTGTCAGAAGGAATGTGTGAATCTTATATCATCCACACAGTAAAATTTAACTCATTTATGCACATTTCTGTAGCACGTTGCTTTTTGAACACACTTCTTGTCAGAAAGGTGGAAATAAATGATAAATATCTTGGATTTGTAGCAAATAACAAGGTTTGAGAATCCCCATGTATTTCAGAAGGTTAACTCATAAACCAGGTTTTACTCAGTCTAATATAATTGAAACCAGTCTTACCGACACACCCTGATGTGTACAAGTTTCACACGTTGAACTGTTTTCAAACAAGGGTGTAGAGTTCAGAGGAAATCCTCCTTCATTCCATCCAGTTTATGTCATACGTCCGGCCTAACGTCAGCGAAAGAATCCCACAGAACAATCCTGCCACCACCATGACTAATAGTTGGTTCAGTGTTCTCTGATCCTAAAGGCTGAGTCACTGCAGCCAAACAGGTCAACCTCGATTTTGTCCAATCATCGTTTTAACTCGGAAAGCATTTGGATCTCTTTACTGAGTATAGATACCAGTGTGTTTCCTGCCTCTGAAGATCTTTCATCTTTGAAATAAACAGTTTTGCTCAGGAAGAGTTTTCATCTTGTGCCACTTTAAGGCCCACAGCATGATTCTTCGTAGCATCATCTTTCCTGGCTCCAAAACACCTCAGCAGCCTGTGTCAATCTGCAAATCCTCATCATTGACTTTCCAAATTTGACAGCACAAATCTAAAGTTTGCTTCCAAACTATTTTTTTAAATGCAACCTAAGAGGAACTATTAAAGGTATAGTGGAGGATTCTCGCAAATTTTTGAAAAGAAATGCCTTCTCCAATTAAAAAAAAATAATAATAATTCATCGCTCATACAAGCTTACTTCCCATGCATATAGCCATGCTTTAACCTGTTTGTGTGATGCTAACCATGTGTGGATGAGACACGCCTGTAAATAAACATTTCTGCATCTAATTGTTGTTTTTCTTTTTAGAGATAACTGTGTGCTATATATAGTGAGAATTTCCAATTTTAAATGGTATAAATTAAAATATATTTTTTTCTGAAGCTTAAATCATTTGGTTGAGAGACATTAGATGATTTCCAGCTGTGATTTCTTTTGCTAATTAAAAGCACCTCGAAATCTAATCAAGACAGACAGTAGCCCACTTTAAAGAGCCTCCTTTTTAGTCCTGCTTGTCACCAAAGCATTTATTCCACACAATGGATATGAAACAGAAAGACACTGACTCTATTATCTAAAATGCACTACCTAGGTGGGGGATAGTTTAATAGTTCTACACCGAGGTTTTCCCCTGCTTTGATTGGGACAGCTTATTTAGAAATCCTGCAGTATGGTAATGTCCATTTCTGTTGCTATGGTTTCCTATTTTCCTCGCTCCTCTTATTCTCATGCAGCTTAATGATGTTTTCGAGTCTGTCATTACCTTTGGCATCTTGGGCTCTGTCATCTGCCTCACATATGAACTTCTGCTAGAGTATGACTCCATCAAACAGCCTGAAAATGGCATTGAAATGCAAAGTGGGAATTTATGACTCCTGGAATATCCTAATAACCTTCCTTCCAGCCCTTTAGGATCAAACAATATTGAGCCCAGAGATACTGGGTTACATATTTATTCCTAGTTTTAATGGATCATGAGGTGATTTGAAGGTTTCTGTACTTTTCTACACTCCTACATGATTTTGTCATAGTATTCTCTCAAGATGCCCTTAAATGACTTCCTGTTCTGAATCCCTATACCTGAATGAGATTCTGCTTATCCTCTGCAGCCATAACAGCTTCAGCTCTTCTGTCAGCCCTTAATACAACTTTATTTACTGAAATTCTTTAAACAAGTTTACAGAAGTGGACAGAAATTTCCTGTTTTTGAGATCAATAAATATTTTTTTGATTTGAAGGGTTTTAGTGAGGTCAGGTGCAGATGATGGACTTCTGAAGGTGTTTTGTTTGTATTTAGCTCAGTCAGCTGTGTTTATGAGCCACTCATATTTTTCTATACCAAATTCCCTCATCTATGATGTTATATGCTATGCTTTGTGTAATCGTGCTCAGTCATGTTAACCAAAACTGAAATAACCTGAAATTTAAATGCTTAATGCTTCTATTATGAAGCATTAAGAGTTCATTTCAATGGAGGAAATCGGCCGAACTCACCTCCTGAAAGCAGCCCCACAGCATGAACCCATCTGCAGCCCCGGGAGTCAAGTGCTGCTCTACCAGCAACCACCAAGGCTGCATAATGTCAGCCTTCTATGCAACAGATCAGACACGGGACCCCATCTGTTTTAGCTGTCTACGCGGCTTCTTAAGGTGGTCTGAAAGCCACAAAGTGAGATCTGTAGCTACGGGCTGAACGTGAAGTCGGTGACCTCTGTGCATGATGAGTTGCTGTCGCCCCCAGTAACTTTCAATACAACTAATGCATTGGAGCCTCTAGTAATGAGATGATTTCATGACAACAGTGACCTTCGGTTCATTGTTGTCTATTAAAAATATATCCCCATCACTTATACTGATTTTTTTTTTTTTTTGCCAAAACTATATTCAGTCTGTTAGTTGTGCATTTTTGAGAGCAGAAAAGCAACGATTCACCAACAGCTTTAAGAAAACAACAGATTTTAGAGGTATGGTAACTTTATTTATGTTGGATTTATTTTATTATTCCCCTATTTTCATCATAATTAGGCGTAAAATCACACCATCATCAAAAAATTTAAAGGCCCCCCTTGCTGGGGTTTTTCCGGTCCTGTTCGGTCTCACTTTTCAGCGGTAGCAGATTGCCTTTTAGTAAACAGGCAACATGTCCCAATGATTGTGGTGTTTGGCTGAAACTGATGTCCTCCTGAGTTTAAAAAAATAATCGCATAAACAGGAAAGCCCCTCGGGGCAGTTTTCCCTGCATGCGTCTCCCACTGAGTCAGTTCTCAGGGCGGACCACCTTCATCAGTCTGTGTATTCATGCAGCGGAGCAGATGCAATGAAGTCCTGCTTGTGTGTGCCATCACAGTAAGGTGGGTTGTTGGTGTGCTTGCATCCACACAGCCAGACTGTGGAGTCTTTCTCTGGAACAAAGCGGATTGGAGTCATTCCTTGTCCTCTGGTTTTGTGGGATCCATCACAGAACGGCTTGAAAACAAGGAGATTAAGAAAAAAGTTCAAAAACTTTGATCATTTTTGGAGGGTTTGCACTTTTTTTAAAAGTCATTCTCTCACCTGTTTTCTGCTGTGTCCACAGCTGCACCATGAGTACCGTTTTCCTCCAACAAGCTCCACTTTTAAGGGCTTCTTAGATGGAATGACTGGTTCAGGAGGGGCGGTAGAGAGGCCAAACTGACAATCCAAAGAAAGGAAATAAATACACAACGAAAAAAATCAATATTGGATTGTAAAAGCGTCTTCTGTTTGCAGAAGTCAGTTCCCACTTTATCCCCTTCTAAAATATCTGCCCTGCAGGATGCCTGAAATGAGTCTTATTTTTCATTATTTTAAACTTTGGCGTATTATTCTTTTTTTTTTTGCAATAAATGCTTTAGTTATTAAATCATCAAAAAACAAAAATCACAAACAGGATGTGCATAGAAAGCAAAACTTAAATGTCATGAAATGTTTTCCATGTCTTACTTTTTCAAACTGAAAAGAAATCTGATTGGATCCCATCTTCCTTCGATGTTTGTTTGGTTTTAAAAAAAATCCTTCTTCAGATATTTGACCTTTCTGTATTACTTTTATCCAAGTTTAAACCCTTTTAATAGGGAAAAAAGGTTGTTGACGATGAAAAAAATATTTCAGTGACAACACACCAGTTTGCTATTTAACCTTGAGAAAAGAATACAATGAGATATAAACCATTTGATTGCACCTCTGACTGTCTGCGACCCTGTCCTGCTGGAGGGTGGACCTCATTCCTATTAAAACCTTTAACAGGTTCCAGAATTGCCTATTTTGCTTCTTTATCTTCCCATCACTTCTGAGCATTTCCTTGTCTCTGCTGAAGATAATCATCCTGACAGCATGATCTATCGATCTATCTATCTATCTATCTATCTATCT